CAATCACTATGGCCTTCCAGGGTTTGCAGGCAGGCTCCATTGCCAGCATCCCAGATCTTGACAGTCTTATCATCAGACCCAGAAGCAATGTGGGCACCATCATATGAAAAGGCCACTGATCTGACATAACCACTATGGCCTTCCAGGGTTTGGAGGCAGGATCCCCATTCAGGTTCCATAACCGGCTTTGTAGTGATCCAATGTGGCTCCTCATCCTTAAAAAAATGACGTGTTAAACTGCCAGCTGGACTAAAGATAAGTGCTGAATAATATACTTGCAGAGGACTATCCTCAATAACGCTTCTGTTAAACAGAACAAAGCGTTGGGCATCCTGAACCAGCTTGGAAAGATTAGACTCTTGTGGCACACACTGGATGAATTAGCACCTGGGGGGACTCTATTGTGGGAAGAGGTAACTAACTGTGACCAAGCTGAGTAGCTTAGTTATTGCAGACACGCCATTTGACATGCTCTTCATAAGGCTTAAAGCTTCCAGCCAGTGTAGAAGATGCTTCTTGAGAAAGACATTCACAGGTCCATTTTCATGGAGGAACATTCCACTGTGACTGCTTCCCATTTCATGGAGATGGTCAACCCAATATACACACGCATATTGGATTGATGCAAGCGGGTCTTCCAAAGGGGGATGAACATCTGTAATGCAAAATCCTGGATGCTGCAGATTATAAATATTCCGTCTCAGAATCTGTGACATGGATTCAAGTGACTGCAATACTATCATGCAATGTACTTCTGCACACTCATGATGGAATATCTCAACGCTTGCATACTGCAAAATGTAGTCCTTTGCTGATAGGTGAACAAAGTAAATGGTTTCATTCTGAACACTCAAAAAAGAACCACAGAGGTCAACCACATCTTTGATATCATCTTGATCACTAGTAACTTCCTCTGGCAGACAAGCAATAGCAATAAGCTCTTTCAAGTGTATTGGTCGATATGCAAGTGCACTGACAGCAAGGACTTGCTTGCACAACACAGAGACTTTGCTATCACACTGGATGTGAATTTGATCGAGCATTCGTTGGTAAAGGGGTTGCAGTCCGGGTGGGAATGACCTGAGTATTTCAAGTGTTCTCAAGCGTACAGTACTTTCTAATTGTTTGCAAACAAGAGCCACCCATAGAAATGTGCCAGATGAGTTCTTATGCAGGTAGTCCCGCACGTCAGCTTGAACCTTGCTCTTATATTGTTTCAGTTGGGCTAGTTTAGAAGCCTTATGGTCGATATAGGCGCTGACAGCATCAAAAACCCGACTTTCTGCATCTTGTTCCAGATTAAGCTGTATTTTTCCCTTTTCAGTGCACAAACGCTCTTGGATGTCAAGTCTGTTGCGGCTGGACACAAGCCACATGACCTGACAATGTGGGTGTGCGGAAGTTTCATTAATGAAGTTCAAAAGTTGCTCCAATCCAGACTGACATTCATCAAGAGCATCCACCACCAAATACACTTGATTGAGACTGGGGTCCTGAAGCATGTTGTTAAAGATTCGGGACATTGAAGGGAATACATTGCCATCCTCAAATAACTTGGGCCCTGCCGTGTCGTATTCTTTACGAAGGTGTGAGATGAGATAGGGTTGTTGAACAAGCATATGGTAAACCAAGCCCCTCAGAACCGCTGTGGCATTGTTGAGTTTTGCATCGGTTGCTTGACAGAAGAAAAAAGACAGGTGTCTGGACTTATGAGGGGAGCTTGATAATTCCTTAATGATGCCTATCAGAAGCATTGTCTTCCCCTTGCCTGGATCACCCTTGATCCACAGGAGCTGGGTCATCTTCTCATCTGTCCACTCTATAAAGCAAGGGTGGCTGAGAATCCATACAAAGGATTCATGCAGCAATGGATCTTTGCTGTCTTCAATACGCTTCATATCATCTTCAGGATTTGTCAGGCGCAAATCCTTCAGACATTCTCTGTCTTTCTCTTCCTCTTGATCTTTTTTGGCTTGCCCTTGAGAATCCCCTTGCATCAACGTTTGCTTCTGGAGGGTGTGGTGGATGTCACGCAAAGTCCTCATTTCTTGCTCCTGAAAATCCACAATTTGTTGGGTACTGTACTCCTGAGAGCTTTCAAAAATCGCTGTTACCGCTTCTCCGATGTTATTCATTTGCCCTTCCCAGTCATGAAGCTGCACAAGGTCTTTGAGGAAGACAAGGCCCCGGTTCCGATAGTACGAGCAAACGCTCTTCATCTGATATGAGAGGAGTACCTTGTACAGATGGATGATCTGGCCCTCCAGCCCAGATTGCAGTCCTGCATAATCTTTGCTTTCCAGGTCCCGCTCCTTGAGTAGATGGCTAGACAAGCTCCAGTACCAGTCCATCTTTCTAGCAACATAGTCAATGCCAGCACGGTTAGTTTCTGTCTCCTTAATAGGGTTGGCTATCATCTATGAACAGGTCAGCATCACATTCATTATTTTCAGGTTCAGTGACAGCACTCACCTGTAAAGCAAAAGTAACACCGGTCCATGCAAGAGCAGCTTCTGGGCAGCCTTTAAGTGCAGTGCTTATCATATGGTTTGAAGCAAAAACAACGTCCACCACATGTCCAGCGCCCTGTTTGACCTTGGCCTCAAGCTCAGTCTTGGCCAGACCCTTGTCAATAAGCTGTCTCATCTGAGATCGTCGTGCCTCTTTATCCTTCTGCTCAATCATGTTTTGCTGATATTTGGATGCTGAGGCCGTAGGTGTCCCAGATAGTTCAAAAGACAGAACCCTCTCATAAGCTTCCACCAACCCAGGATGGTCTCCTCTGAGGTTGTCGTACGCTCTGTCCCAGAGTAATTTTGGTTCAAATGGGGCAGGTTGCTTTTGAATTGAATCCTTCCGGACAGCATCACCGCCGGAGAGTGTCACTGCTGGCTTGTGACCTGTTGCAGGCATGTCATGGGCATGTTGGCTCTGCGGCTCGGTTTGAGATATCTGAGTCAAGTCCGTTTTCCCGGCGGGTTTTCTAACAGTATTTTCAGGTGGCACAACACGTTCATGGTGATGATTAGCTTCCTCTTCATTGGATATCATCTGCCTTGAATGCTTGTTGCGGCGATAAATATTGAATTGTGAGAACCATTTTTTTCCTGCCATGATGCTTGAAACAATAGACAAAAGTTGTCAAGGAGAAGACCAAAAAATAATGAAAACATCAAGCAATTTTCAACCCAAGCCTGTTGGCGGCTATTTTGTGGGGTAGCGCTTTAATTGATTGCCCAATCCCAGCAGATGTGAGAACATTATTGGTTGTTTAGGCCTAACTGAAGTTGAACCCTCACTGCCCCAGTCGGGAAAGTCACCATCAATCCATCATTCTCATGATAACTAGTTAGTTAACTACATTATGACCCATCTTCGGCCAGCAGAAGCCATGGTATTTTGATGGAACTTAATTTTGATAATTATGCACCGCAGCACCATCTTACTGTAGTTATCATTCAATAGGTGTGAGGGTGGCAGTGAAAGCATCTGGACCAGTCATATTTCATGATAGCCCACCTTTGGGTTCTCCCGGAATATCTTCCGATCCCGAAAGTCTAATTTTATGGTACCCCCTCATTGCCTACCGGACATTGACACCAGAAACAATCTACTTCCACTATGTGCAAATGGCTCCTGTCACGGAGTGCTCAGCTAGGATAATGAAACATCCTTCTCATGGGTTCTACCTAGGTAGCTATCAAATGAGAATAATCAACATGAGGAGGGAAGAAGAAGAGGAAGGATGCCGCCAGCGTTGACGTGGCTAATAACCCCGCTTCCAGGCACGTGAGAGGTATGCACATTGAAATGGGGATCGGGGGCCGGAGGTCCGGAGGAGTCGATTATCCGCGACTAGCGAAGTCTATAGTTATGGAGAGATATAGCTTGAACGAAGTGGTGTATTGCCTATTGATCGTACATGTGCGTACACAGCTGATTTGAGTGCTTGTCTATCTATATGTGCATACGCGTTGGCCTTTAGTAGGCGATCGGAGCTTTCGCCTATCGGCCCGACTATTTTTCCCTTTGTCGAGGCGGCTTCCCTTTATTACACATGACCAGGCCGTCACAGCTCCCAGGCTAGCTCGGGAAGACTCGATCGTGATTGAATTTTCGAGCCCCATGGTAGCCAACCAAGCAGTTGACCAGGGTGCCATTTGGGAGCCCCGGGCCCATTCGACCACGCGCTTCTACAAAAAGGCGCGGTCAAAACTATGCCGGAAGTGTCAGAAACTAGGACATGTACATGTTCAATGTCCAAACAACTACACATGTGGCATCTGCGCGGCTCGACACCCGACCTGGGAGTGTCCAAGCAAGCGGGGTGAGGTGGTAGCACCAAGATGCGCCAATTGCGGAGGCGAGCATCGGGCAAGCAGCTCGGCCTGCGCTGTACGGAGGCAAGCAACAGCAACAACAGCAAACCTATGTGGCTGATGGCCGCGGCCAGACGACGCATTCAACAGAGTGCACAGGGATCGTGGGAAAGGGCATGGGAAAAAGAAAAGACAGGTAGGCTAACGAAACGGTTGATCCAGGTGCCAGGCAAGAAGGTACTTCGGTACTGGAAAAGCCTCAGGAAGGCGACAAGCTCGGTTCTGATGCAATTGCGTACGGGAAGAATTGGGCTGAATCAATACCTGAGTCGGATCAAAATCCGGGAAGACGCACGATGCAGGTGTGAACTGGGCAACCAGACACCTCGCCATGTGGTCACGGAGTGTCCCCTACTCAGCGAGCTTAGGACCAATATGTGGAAGAAACTCCGCAACAGAGTGTCCAGAGCAATTGACTTCAATGACTTGTTGGTAGAACCAAAGGCCGCTCCTGCTCTGGCGGATTTTATGATGCAGACAGGCCTGCTCGGACGGTTTCAAGCGGTAGACTCTGAGGCGATAGGTGTGACAGATGAGTTTGAATACGCAGACCAGGGCGTTTGAACATGTTGAGATCAAGGACGCACGAAACAGCGGAGGGGAACCAGGTCACCCCAACGCCGGTAAAAACCAGCGAACACACAAAACGCCCAGCGGCGCCGCGATGAGATGATTGATAGGACAAGGCGGGCGAGCCAAGCGGTGATATCTGTGATTTGGCCTCGGTAATTCGGGGGAAAAACTGTACGGAGAAAGAAGTGAGCGGATGATTCATTTTAAGTTATGTTTACATTCTTCCCACGGCTATACGGCCGTGGTCTACCGCCTGCGTTGATCGCAGCGTTTCATGGCCGCGAGCTGAGCTCACGGCTCAACCATGCATGGCTGCAAATATCTAAAAGCTAGCTAGGACAGGTTAATAAGGACTACTACTACTACTACTACTACACCCTGACACTCACCCTTGACTCTAAAGACATCACCTCAATTACCTGCACCCAACTAGAGCTCACCTAGCCATCACCCTTAGCGCAGCAACAAGGAAAGGGCAAAAGTAACGGTTGGCCGAGCTTAATATGTAGCTTAAGTACGGCTAAGGGGACGGGAGACCTTGTTTTCCACACCGTATGGTCGTATGTACTAGATTTATTGCTAGAGCGTATATAGTGCGGTCTGGTAGGACGGCCGAGCAATATGTCCGTGGTGGAGTACGGATAGTTAAGTTCCCCCGAGATCTAAGTATTCCGTAGTAGTAGTACTCTGTATCAACTAACACAGAGAATTTACCGAGCCATGGCTGGACTGTCAAATATCCTCAAGATGCGCCTTCGGTTATCAGTGGCTAACCCGACCTCGCAAGTATGGCCGCGTTGAGAAATAATCTGCGACGTCATTAAGGACTTCCTGTGCACTTAAAAAGGTTGCAATCCCATGCAACTTTCAATGGCAATGACCGCTCGATTTAAATTGCAATGAAGTACGCATTGACAACTGGCTGTACATCTGGCAGCATTGGCTATTTCCTAGCGCGAGAATTCGCAACCAAGGGCTATCATGTTTTCACAACTGCGCGCCGAATCTCAAATATGGGAGATCTCACCTCAACACCCGCACTCATCACACCACTCACTCTCGACATCACAAGCCCCGAATCTATCCTCGCCGTGCACCAAACAGTCAAGCTCAAGTGTGGCGGGAATATAGACGTGATTTTCCACAATGTCGGCTAACGGTCTCTTGCCATGGCTATCGAAGCCACTTATGCTGAATCATTTAAAATGTTAACGACCAACCTTATGGGAGTGATCGAACTGAATCGGGTTTTCTCCGACATGATAGTCAATGCAAAAGGTACAATAGCCTTTACAAGAAGTCTCTCCGCTGTAATGCCTCGGCCGCCGCAATCCGTGTATTGCGCGATCAAGGCAGCCTTGGACCTCTATGTGCGGACGCTCAGGATTGAGATCCGTCCGTTTGATGTTAATGTTGTACTTGTGCACACTGGGGGCATAAAGACGGGGATGACCGGGTCGAGCCTTGTTCTTGAGGAGGGTATGTAACAACATACCGAAGTATATAAAGTTTATCCTAACACAACGCCATTTTCTGCAATAAACTCGCGGTATACATATCTATCTTCCAAGATCAATAAGGTCTCCGCTGGCCTCGAGGCCGGTTATATGGACCCAGGGGACTTTGCAGAGTGGTCGTGGGTAAAATCACTAGTGGCTTCTGCGCACCACCTACAGATATCTGGTCTGGCAAGGGTGCGTTTCTAGTTCGAGTTCTGGAGATCTTGAACCTCAATTGGGTATATGATAGCATGTTTGCGTAGTTACTTGGATTTAACGCGAAGGCGCCTCGAAATTATTCATCCAAGTAAAAGAAGTCATGTTATTTCTGTTAATTAGTCCAGCATATAGTAGTAGCCCATCGACTTTGTTTAAAAACAAAAACACAGCAAGCAATACTTCGGGTCTACACCGCAGGTATAGGCGTGAGAGCTTATTGGAACTACATCTGGCTGATTCCCAGTCAGAGGTAAAGGTGTGACTCGGACGATTTTCTCATCGGAATATAGACCAATACTTTTGCCAAATCCCGACATCGTACCCACAAAAGACCAGAAAAGTTAGCACCAACGAGCGGGGTAGGCTGGGGGACACTCCTTCCAAATATACTTAAGCCTGCCACACTCCGTGACCGACGAGCGAACCTGCAGTTCTGAAAACATCTAGATCTCCCACCTTGGTAATACGCGCTATATTGAAGACAATGTCTCGCTTACCTACTCTGGACCACATCGTCATCCTTGTGTCTCATTACACCCTCATGGGTCTATCAGACCGCATCCAGCATCTGTTCATCGTGGCGCCTGGCGGAAACCATGCTGATGGACTCACCTCAAACAAGCTGGTCCTTTTCCAGGATGGGGTTTACATAGAATTCATCGCTTTTTTCGACGACGTTGACCCCGATCGACGGAGCAAGCACCGCTGGGGAAACCTCAAGGAAAACACTATTATCGATTGGGCTTTCACGTTCCCTCCAGATGATGATTTCGGCGCTATCAAGCAGCGAGTCCAGGATGCAAAGACAAGCTTCTTGTATGAGGAGCCTGCCCTCTGGGGACGAAAGAGAACCGACGGGACAATGCTGGAGTGGACACTCAGCGCACCAACAGACGCAGACGCCCTTCCCAATGCGCTTTCGCCTGGTCGTCTACCATTCTGGTGTCTCGACAAAACGCCTCGTGAACTGCGGGTTCCTTATGCCGTGGAGCCTCATCTGACTCAACACCCATCCGGTGTGCAGGGTGTCTCTTCGTTGTCATTGTCTGTTCCTGTGCGAGAGATCTCGGACCTGACGGAAGTATACGGGGCTATATACGGAAGTTGTGGTCCAGCAGACTTGGCTGATCGAGTTTGGCCTTATGAGGTTCCTTCGGGATCGATAGCTGGTAGACACACTATTACTTTGCTGGGAAGTACAGAGACGAGTATTACGCTGACTTTGGGTGGGCCTAGTCCTGGACAGATTGAACTTTTGTCAGGGCTTACTATTGATATTGAGTAAGGGATGGCTATGGCATGATGGGTGTGTATGTAAAGAGCTAGCACCCTAATGCCACCGTAGCGTGTTTTTGCTAGCTTACGGTCTACTAATCACAGCCTTTTCAAGATGTTAGATATGCAGCAATCCTGTCTACAACAATATTATGGGAAAGAGTGATTGAAAAATCATTGAATGATAAGTAAACAGTCAAACTTATGCAACTAGAAAAAGAGAAGAGCAACATCTAATTCAAAAAAGAGAACCTGACCACCCTCGTACCCTATAGCAATTCTGTACCCGCATATGCACGATGACTGGCGTCTATACTGCGCGGGAAGAGAAAGCCCTTCTTTACCGGCCGGTATGATGGAAGTTTCATCCTCGCTAATCCAGTATGGAGACCATGCAGGTAATTGGGAAAAGCTCGCTGATTTGCCAAGTGGAACAGCACCAAACTCAGTAACGATATAATCCGGATTATCAGTAAATGAAAGTTGATCGAATGTTCGCCGTACGTCCAGCTTGTACAGTAAGGTATTAGAGTCAAAGCCCCATATACTCAATATCGTCGTAAGCAGCGCACACAATCTGAGATGTGTATGACCTGAAAGCGACGATGTTCGGGCTGGCAGAGTTTTTGTCTTTCAAATTGTGCTTCAGGGAGAATTCCCCTGCGTCCCAAATGCAAATTGTCCCGTCACCAGAGCAGGACGCCATGTGCCCCTTATCTGCTGACCATGCGGTGAACCTAACGTATCCCTGGTGGCCTTGGAGAACCTTTTTCGCAGATTCTATCTCAACACCGTCTAGAGAAATATCCCAGACTCTAATGGTCCGGTCGTCGGATGCCGATGCCAAAAGGGACCCTTGTGGAGAAAACGATGCGTGCCTGACCCAGTCTTGGTGCCCGCGCAATGGGCCACGTAGGTCGCCGGTTTTAAGATCCCATAACTGGACCAGGCCGTCGTAGCCCGTGGATGCCAACCTCTGCACGGATCCAGAGTGCGCAGAGAAGAAATGCTGGTTTTGGCCAGTTTCGCTACTCCAGATGCCGATTATCCCATCATCCGATCCCGATACGATAAGATTAGTGACCACAAGATACCGGGGGGATTGGAGTGAGCGGGCGCTTGGTCATTTTATTGGATAATGCATGATAGTAGCACACTGCATGCACTGTGACTCAAGCTGGGTTGAAAGAGTAGACTGGTGTTAAACAGCAGCCGAACTCCAAGGATCGGCTTACCCGTTATAGCGAAACGTACCAAGCGATTATGAATATTAATGTATTAGATACCCATATTCTCTACAAAAACTAGCTTTGTTATACATATTTAGATAAACAAAGGCCATTTGACACAATATCATTGCGCATAGAAGCTGCGCCTATGGGAGTTCTTCTTTCCTCTATCAGTGTAGACTTTTACTCTCGCCAGAGGTTTGATGGAGTATTCTGTGTTTTAAGTGTTATATTTCGCAATGATTTCCTTTAGTGGTAAGTTGATGGCCCCCAGATTGTCTATAGATAGGGCTATCGTAGTTGACACATAGCCACAATCCACCTCTGATATGCTGCTGCTTGGCTGAAAACGAAGGGAGGAAAATCGTCCTTTCGTACCTTGTAGAACCAATGAGTGAGGCCCCAAAAACAACGCGAATCCTGTGCGGGGCTTTGGTGGGGTAGGCCTGAGCCAGGGACAAAAGGTATAAATACCCTTTCATACTCCCGGGTAGTTCAGCATAGAATTAAACAAGAATTCAACTTCTCTTTTGACTATTGCTTCTCTATATTCTTATTCTCTCTATTCTTTTCCTCTGTGCCTTCCACCATCTCTATTCTTTTTAAACATGGAACCACAGCTTTACATATACGATATCAACTGGAAGTCAGAGACTCCACAATCAGCTCAATCGGGGAACCATAGTCTTTTACAAGAATATATAGAGACTTTGCAAATTTTCCTGAACGATAAAACTGTTTGGGTTATGCACTCTAGCTACAGTCCTGACAGTGCTCATATCACTATCGACTCAAGTCGCGGGAGAAACAAATGAGGCCGGCTGTTACATGTTAGACCTAACGGACGATATACGGAAGCTAGACAATTTATTTACCGGGAACAGTGCATCAACCCATAAACTCGAGAGCTTCTATTGCATTAAAAAGGAGAATAATTAGTGTACAATTTCTGTATATGCATAGTCCCAATCACCCTTTTGTCCTTTGTTGCATCAGTACAAAACGCCAATCGAAACAGGATCCGTCGACTTAAGTAAATTGACCCTCAGTTAAGAGGCGCAAAGCGGTCTACGTGGTCATCCTCCGCTTCATCTGGAAAAGAGGTCCCTGGAACACAATCCAGAAGCTTCGTCAGGATGGACGAGACTTTGCTACTGTCTGCCAATTGTTCCCCGCCGCAAAGGTCGATGGACTTGTACACCGACTCCTTCACGCCCAGCGCCAGCACTAGCAACCTGTTTCTCTTATCGGGCCAGTTCCAGGTCTCGCCATTGTCATCGGCACGAGTCTTGCGAGCCTTGCTCGCATTACGAGTTCCCTGGCTATGGAGTTTTTCTGGCAACAGGATATCGAACTCTTCGCTTGTTGTATCGTGCCGCAGACACATAATGATAGCGATGTGGTTCTGAGATCACTCCAATTTATCTACCGCCTTCTTAAGATCTGCCATGGCTATTGTTTTGACCTTCGCGGTGAAGGCATCGTGCTTGCGGTTCTTCACTTGGATCGTGCAGAACGTCATCTCCACAACACCCGGGATCTTGACTGGAATGATAATGTCGGCTCCGGGAAACCCTTTTGGTAAAAAGAAGGCCGCCGCTCTGCTGAAAGCGCGATCCAGCGTTTCCAAGGTTGGTGGGTTTTTGAGATTCACAAAGTGATTGAAGTAAACTATACCAGTCTCCCAGAGTTTCTTCATGTCCGCATCTGTCCTCATCCGCTGGGTCATCTCATCACATCTCTCGCTTCCGAACAAGGACTCCAGGTAGTTGTGCAAGAGTATTGGCTTGGGTAAAGCTGTCGGGTCATCGAATTGCTTCTCGTCATGCGCGAACAGTAGTATTATAGATGCAACCATATCCCCGGCATCACCTGTGCTCATCAGGCTTCCTTCAAAGCAGGACAACATAAACTCTCGCAGCGCCTTCAATCGAACTTTCGGGTTGATCATCTTTGAGGCTGCAGTGTATGCCAAAATTGGCTCGCTTGGCCGAACTGTCCTCGTCAAATCCCTTTCCTTGTTGATAAAAGCAACTTGCCTGAGGCAGTTCGATACATCTCATCAGCCAGGTGGCTGCTAGCAAGGAAGAATTCCAAACGATAAGAGATGAGTGCCAGGGCCTTGGCGAGACTGTCTTCATCAGTCTTTTGGCTGGCCAGACTGATCAACTCGCTAGCAGGATCCTTCGGGACACTGTCAGGATGACACCGGCTTCCCCAGAGGGGACGGCCAAAACGGAAAAACTTAACGGCTGCTTTCGCCGACCCGTCTTCTTCAGTATCGTCTTCTTCAGTATCGTCTTCTTCCGCGAAAATATCCATTGTCTTTATTTGATAGATGGGCGGTAACAGCGTTCTGCCATTCCCCATCCGGTCCACCACCTTTTGGCTAGAGTCGAGGTGCACGGATGGAGAGAAATTGGTAACCCGGGAGGTAGTATCAAGGAAAATGCCGAAAAAGTCACCCTGGGGCAAGCTTTCCTGTGGCGTCTTTGTCCTTTCAAAGCGGTCTCGAAGGACGTGTCTCAATGAGCGAAACAGTTGCGATTCTTCGTAATCGATGCACTCGCGAGCCTCGTCAAACAAAGAAACGTTTTGAGGATCCACTTCTTTCCAAGACGCTCTGCCATCACGGAACCTTGGTTGTAAGCCTTTCCCCAACGTAGAAGGCACGTGCTGCATCCCGATATTGAGCCTCCCTTTTTGCTCGTTTGATTTTGGGCAGCATCGTGGCCAACTGATCAGCAAGAACTTTGTCTTGGTCACGATCACGGGAGAGTATGTAGGTGACTTTTCTCAAGTCGATCCATGTAACCATCAAGTTGTTGAGTGTAGTGTCACTGCTTGGGAGTACGCTGGTCCAGTTGACTTTTGCATTCAGGCCACTCTTCCCAAGCCTGGTCTGCAAAACCGACGATTCAATCTCTGCAGTGTCCACCAGCCAATCTTGGAATTCCTCGCCTTCCCTATCAGAACGAAAAAGGCTCTCGAATTTATCCTGGGAGAGTTGGTCCCATCCGGCGAATTCGCAGAAACCCTTCGGGTCGGTATAATTCCTCCATTGGGATTTTTCGGTTAATTTCGACGTATCCAGCTGCGAAGTTTCCGGTTGAGGAGTCGTGCAGGACTGAGGGGATGGGGGCTGGAGATACATGGCCGGGTGGGAGGTAGGCTGGGGTGACACGCCTAGTTGAAACGACTGGGAAAATTGCGAAGAGGAAAAACCAAAACTGCCACTCTCGTCGCTAGCAGCTATAAAGGCTTGGAATTAGTTTCTGTACGGAGTACATGAGCGAACGATACATGGGGTAGACTCACTTCTGGCAGCTTTGCGGGAAGGGCTTCCCTCGCCGTCGCTCAACTTCCTTTTTCCAGTCATGGCGAGTCTTGCTTTTATTCGTCTTAGAGGGAGTTAGAGCGAGAGAAACAGACTGCAAAAAGATATATTGACCCGAAAGATGAAGAGATGAAGAAAGGAAGAAACTGAATGAAGTGAAGCCTCTAGACTATCTTGAAGCAATGAGGAAGGAAAGGTGGAAGAGAGAAAGCAGAGGAGGGGGGGGGGTGCTGCCTACGGAATCCCAAGACGGCTCGCAGTGACAAACGACACCTAGTGTAGCCCTACGCCTGTTTGCACCTGAGACAAGAGACAAAGAAAGGAAAAGAAAAAACAGCCTGAACTGAGCATTATTGTTGATTGCCGCAGTATATACCACTTGAAAACGTATTGAAGGTAGTTCAAGGACTTATATGAGATGGGCTCTACTTCTAACTACGAGCAAATAGTAGGCAAACTACAACGAAGCGTGAAATGTCATCAAATGATTCTCCATTCTTTAAACGCTACTAACCATGCCAACAGCGCTTTGAATTAATGTCCCAATAATCACTAGCCGCGATGCAAGTAAGCGCGTAACCTGCAAAAAACGAAGCTAGACTACTTTCTAGTTATATGATTCCAAAAAATAAGCTATAGAATAGATAAAGAGACATACACAAGCAGTTAACAGTACATTCCGTACATGTCAGTAGAATACGCTGCTCTCAGTGACATCTATATCGTCGGGATCGCGATGGGTGGAAACAGTTTTTTTTCGACACCAATTGCCGCCGTAGCCCTTTCTTCCATACTATAGTCTGTCCCTATCAACACCCCGAAAGCGCCATCCTGGGGTACAGTGCTACTGAGATCTCTGGGCAGATCGTGTTGACGGATAGCGCCCCGAAACCCATGAAAGTTAAACGACGAGTCATTATCAAAGAGCTCATGGGCTTCGTTTATGCAGATGAGGGCTTTGGGCTTCGTGTCACCTCCCTGAAAACCGGGGATGCTGCAGTTATCTCCATTAGACTCCAATTCCAATCGCCATCTTCGCAACAGGGCCTTGGCATGATCGACGCGGCTGGAAAGGATGACCTGGACTTTGGCTTGTCGTGTGAATTTTGACCCGTATAGGCTTGGCCAAATTTTGATAAGACTCATGACTCGGTCTGTAAACTCCTTTTGGTAGCTATAGTATGGTCTCTTGGTTTGTAGGTTGTAAAATCCTGCTGGTGTGATGCCTGCGGTTCTGCATGCTTCTATGTCTGCCAGGCTGGTTACAATGTAGCATTCCCAAAATTGCTCGAGCTTCCATCTATAGCCGTCTTTGGGGAATCTGTCTGCAATTTTGGAGCGGCGTGGGTAAGCATTTGAGTGTTTGTGGGCCAGGTTTGCATATACCACGTAGATGCCATGGTGGACTGCGAGTTGTTGAATTATGAAGCTTTTTCCAGATGGTCCGATGATTGATGCGTATGGAGCGGCATGCTCGTTTGGATCATAGCTGTTAGAGTATTGGAGGAGTTTCTCGCACACGGCATCGCTTTGTCGATGTCCATCAGCTGTAAGTCTCTCTTCGGCTTCGGTGTGGAACGCGCGCTCCAAAGGCCCGTATTGGACATTTTTCCTGGGCAACAGCCGGGACAGCAAGTCGGCATAATTCCAGTCTTGAGTATCGTGAAGAAAATGGTGGATCCTTTTCAGTTGGATCCATGTGTATATCATATTATCGTCCGTGGTGCTCTTCATCGTGTCGTATAGAGGCTGTACGAATATCCTGTTGATCTTCTCGTTCATGCCAAGTAGATCAAGCCTGTGATGCACTACTGATAATTCTCCTTGTGCTTTGCAGATTAGCCAGTTTTGGAATGGAATTCTCTCAGTCCAGTAAGTTTGCTTTAAGTCCTCCATGAATACTTGGTCCCATCCCGTATAGTGGAAAAAGTCCTCTGGATTGGAATATCGTCTCCATTGGTTCTTTTCGCTTTCACTGAGCTCGTTGACTGGTTTGATGGTCGATGCGTCTAGCTTCGAAGGTTGGCGGTCGAAGATGCCAACGATCTCATCGTCGATAGCAACTATATGGTCTGGTCAAAAATTGACTTGGTACTCAAAGGTCGATTTTTAACTCACATCTGACTTTTTTGCAAGGTCTCTCTGAGCTAGGACTCATCTTTCTTTTAATTTGTATCATATCAAGAGACCTCTCTGTAGGAAATAATCAAAGGTTAAGTGCTGAGAGATGGGAATGATACTGTTGTAATGATGAGAAGAGACAGTAAGTTCTGCCTGTTTAGGCTACCTAGGCTACCATCTAGTCATGTTGTGTTCGTCACCTATATAAATAGCATGACATATATTTCGGACCGTTCCCATGGTTCAAATGATGACAGATTCGAGTCATGATAAATTCGGCATATTCTCTCGCGTGAGGTCTATCGCAATTACGCCGTCAAAAAAAAAAAAAAAAAAAAAAAAAAAAAAAAAAAAAAAAATAGCGAAAAAACAGCCAAATTTGTTTTGTAGGTTCTCTGGTTCAATTGGTGTGGGTTGTATTAGTCTGGGATGAAGAAAGTTGCTATTACTATCTTAGGAAGGCACGCCCTCTATACTATATGCCGGCAATATAGATGCCGCATCTCTGCCTCAGGCAGTTATTCAGTTCTCCCCACACCTTGGGAATGATATCAATAATGGCGGCGGAATTAACCTAGGTATTTCTAAACTAACCGAGGCATCCTGATAGGGAAATTGGAGTAACATGTCTTTCCCCGGATTTCAACCCCAGATTTGACCCCGGATAATCTGGTCTGGACCCGAAGCGGGGACGATAAGACGGGCCATTTCCGCCATGATCTGGCTGGGCATGCTTGGCGAATCGAGCAATCGTTGAATTACCGGTCCTAGGGGGAGCGTACTACTTTACATCTGGCTGCAATCGTTTCTCATTAGGCGCCATGTCTGCGTCCTGGGATATGCTATATATTCACGCGGTCCTCTCCCCAATAGGGGACTAGTCCTGCGCGCCCACATTTGAGATCCAGCCAGCTGGTTCCCTGCCTCTAAATATTTCAATATGACAGACGAAAAGCCTAAAGATGCTGACATTCCCGTGGCAAAGCACATCTCCACCGAAGAGGTGCAACCTACTGCGGAAGAGCGTCGTCTGGAGAAGAAGACGCTCTTGAGGCTCGACCTTCTGTTGATGCCGATGACCCTGGTATTATATTTCCTCGCCTGGCTGGACCGTGCCAATGTTGGCAATGCACGAATTGTGAGTTGCTTTGTTTCCGTTTTGTCCAGCTATGGATCTTGTTACTCATCAGTTTATTCTACAGGCTGGAATGGACAAAGATCTCAACCTGTCGGACTGGGAGTACAAGTGTGGTGGGTATTCCGAACCATTGTATGAACAAAACGAAGTTACTAATTCGACAAGCTGTCACGGTTACCTACATACCTTATATCCTCGCCGAACTCCCCTCCAATCTCATCTTGAAGAAAGTCGGACCTCGAATTCTTCTTCCAACACTATGTACCATGTGGGGACTCATCACAGTCGTCCAAAGCAAGTCGCAGACCTTTGGAGGATTTGTCGCCTGCCGTTTCTTCCTGGGACTGTTTGAAGGTGGCCTATTTCCCGGAATCATCCTCTATCTGTCAGGATTCTACCGGCGTCATGAGCTGCAAGTACGCATTGCGCTCTTCTTCTCCGCGGCATCCATGAGTGGTGCATTTTCCGGTCTGCTGGCAGCTGCTATCCAACAGATGGACGGTATCCGGGGCCTTCGGGGCTGGCAATGGATCTTCATCCTGGAGGGCCTATTTACTGTGTGCTTTGGTCTCTTCTCCTTCTTCATGCTACCGAACGGCCCCGAGACGGCTCTCACTCTTCGTCCAGAGCATGTCGAGCACTGCATCTCCCGCATGCAACTCGACGCAAACCATTTCGAGACAGAAAAGGTCACCGTCAAGAAAGTTGTCTCGGTGCTTCTGGACCTCCATGTCTGGATCCTGTGCGCCATTCTCTTCACCAACGGAGTATGTCTCTTCGGTCTTGCCTACTTCTCCCCCTCCATCGTGGAGGCCCTAGGCTACAGCAGTACAACGACCCAACTCATGACTGTGCCCCCGTACGCCTGCGGGCTTGTTGTCACGATGATAGTCGCCTTCATCGCCGACCGCTACCAGCAGCGAGGACTCTGTGCACTAGCCACCAGCGTCATCGCACTCATCGGCGCAGCCCTCCTCCTTGTCGGACGTAGCATGGGCATGCGCTACGCAGCACTGGTCATCTTCGTAACCGGTATCTACTCCTGCTCTCCGTGCCTTATCAGTTGGGTCCCGAACAACAGCGCCGGGTATAATCGACGCGCTACCGCTATTGCGATGGGGTTCATCTCCACTAGTAGCGGGGGTATACTGAGTACATGGATCTACCCTAAGAGTTCGGCGCCGTACTACAATCTCGGGGCACAGTGCAATCTTGCATTGGTGGCTATCAGCATGGTTCTTATGATGGCTCAGATTCTGCTTTTGCGGACGCTGAATAAGAGGAAGACGTCTCATCGGGCGAAGATTCTGGAGGGGTTGGAGGGTTTGTCGTATGAGGAGCAGCTTGAACGGTTGGGGGATCGTCATCCTAACTACCGATATACCTATTAACTGCTATATCCTTCATATGGACAGCAGAATACATGCATCCTACTATACTACTATATGAATACATTTTATATGTTTATACAGGTAAAAAGTTGTCGAGTATCTCTACCCCACGCGGTACTAATTCCACCCATGCTTGGATCTCCTACAAATGAGGGGGATCGCCTCCAAATCCTGCAGGCCAAGGAAAACAGCTTGAGACCGGATTCTTGAGTCGGCATTTGAGGATTGGAGAGGTCTTTCGGCAGTGAATCGTTTATAAGATCCCGTTCAGAGATAGTTGGGTGGTTCTCTGGCAGCCGCTGACCGTGACACTGAGAAGTCCGCTCTGTAGGGAATGGTCAATGAATGACTGCTGAGAGATCGGGGTGATGCTGTTGGATTGATAAGAAACTGTATATTAGAAAGAGGCCTGTTTAGGCTACCTAGGCTATCATCTGGTCATGTTGACACATATATGTCGAACCATTCCCACGGTTCGATGATGACAGATTAATTAGGGCAGTTCTGTAATGTTGACTCGCGCGATTTGAGTCATGATGAATCCGTACTCGACCGAAAAATGAATTAAAAAAAAAAAAAAAAAAACAACAACAACAACAACAACAACAACAAAATAAAACAAAGCGGGACAATAATAAAACTACCCAAGCATCAAAAGGGCAAAAAAAAAAAAAATTAATAATAATAATAAAATTCAAAAAGAATGACCAGACTGGGGCTCGATCCCAGGACCTTATCGGAATCAGTTATGTGAACTGTTAACGATACGTGATAACCAACTACACCATCCGGCCGATTGTTGAAAATATGAAACCTCAGCTGCTTTATGAGTCAAAGATAGAAGTAACTATGACACTTACTAATCCTGTTTCTTTCTTTAGCGCGATCATCGAGCACAAATAATACTCCGTACAACCCGTTACGAGTCGTTCGTTCCAGTTTCTGTTAGAATAACGAAGGCGAAATTGTCAGGGCTGGTTACACCCAAATAATGAGCACAGCTCGCGGCCAAGTCAATAGTCACTTGTATGGTTTGTACTATTGTACTACTGTACTACTACTATGTCGCGTGCATCTGGACTGCTCGGCGTACTTGGCCGACTCGACCAGAACCTCAACATGGGGCTGAGGCAATTCAAGAGGCGAGAGGCAACAGCATTACTCTATTGGGGTGTATATCCACTCAATGTGCGCCAATTTGAGAGTAAATAAAGCTTAATGCTTGCGCGAGCCGCTGGCCTATGATATTCTGGGCAGAGTCAGTAATCACCACGCTGTAATAATAGGGCTATGGTAATGTCAAGTAATGCCAACACGGAACCACACAAACAAATACGGTCGTGAAAAAAAAAAAAAAAAAAAAAAAAAAAAAAAAAGAAAGAAAGAAAAGAAAAGAAAAGAAAAGGCAAACCGGCGGACCAGCATAAACAGTGATATCAAACACACCCGAGTATGCCTATTGGCTCATACCGTTGTTCCGCTCGGGAGGGTCGGAATGAGCCATGGAACGGTTTTTCTATGGGGATCCTTTAATCAAACCATATCCAAGACTGCATTTATTCAGATTTTGACTAAAAGCTGGTTTTCTGTGCTGCTTTTTGGGTGCAAACAGAGTGCAAACAGATTCTGAAGCAATACGTGGAGGGTACGTACTTTGGCTCCATAGACGATTTTAGTGAGCGGGTCGCCGGTTGATTGGCCGTGAATGGGCCATCCGGTGGCAGTGGATAACCCGGAGAATAGAATGTTCGACTCTGCCCCATATGGATTCCGGATTTTGTCCAGAGCTGTGTAGAGTTTGATAGAGCATCGTAGAGGTGTCCGTGTATGTGGGATTGAGTTGTACCTGACAGATATCAGGCACAAGAGATGAGTAGCAAAACTAATGCTGCAGGTGCGTGATTGGAGCAGCGGTGTGAACAGCAGTACAGTACATGTGGAATATGCAGTCATCATGTATCCATGTGTCTACAGGATTGTGGACTTGTAGAGAAGACTGCATGTTTGCTCTGTACACTGTCAATTGGTATCGTGATATGGACTAATAGTAGCGCCCTCCGTAGTCTTCCGTATTCCGAATCTAAGCACATGGCTTACGTGGCAGTCATTTCCAGTCGACTCCGGACTCCGGACTCCGGACTGAGGCATGGCTATAGTGCTACTACATCGTATAGCAGCATGTTCTGTATGTACTCTGTACCTGTAGATGTTACTGACACATTCCAACGATCACTGATCGTCCTGTCAAGTCAGTGACTCCGGTGAGCTTTGATAGTTCTCTGTATTATGATACAAATATACCGTACTAATGAATCCGTGGATGCATCCGATCGGCTGTATTGTTCCAGGGGTCGGGAGTCCAGGCCCTTGGCAACAGCCAATCAGAGTCTCGCCCTGAGCAGCTGCCAGTAAACTCAGGAACCATCTGACCATATTGACCAATAAAAACAGCTCCCGCGACCTGCGGCCCCTGACCCGCCCCTTTTCGGTAATTACAGTGATTTCGTCTAATTTCGGCGAGCGTTTGGCCGGGGCTGGCGGCTGGCCTTTTATTATGCGCCGTCTCCCCCCAACGCTCATCTTTTCTCTTTTTCTTCTTCACCACCTTCTTCTACTCTCTCTAGGTTCGCATTCACACTCTTTTCTGTTCCTTTTGGACAGTCGTTCTTTGAGCTCTGCTCTCTGTCATTCTTTATCCACTTTCTTTGATACCTGCGTGCCTGGGGCATCGACCTCATCCCCTAAAACAGCAACAATCCTTCTACTATACACCACACTATAAACCACAATGCAGCTCAAGAATTCCCTCGTCTTGTTCACAGCATTGACCGCTGCCACCGCCAGCGCGCGTCTGCACGGCCACGAGCGTCGTCATCACCATGATAAGCGTGCGGTAGGTGACATGGTCTATGCCACCATCAACGGCGTTATCCAATCCTGGGTCAACGATTTCTCCGGTGGCCATGAGGCCACCACTACCTCTTCGGCTACTGAAGAGGCTACTCAGGTCGCTACCACCACGACCTCCGACGTCGCTTCCGTTTCTGCCGTCCCCACCTCCGACTCGTCCTCCGACTCTTCCTCGTCGTCCCCCTCCGTCGAATGGTTCAACCACCCCTCCAACGGCCAGTACTCCCGTCAAGGCTTTGGCGGCAAGACCTCGTCCAGCGGTGGTGGTGGCACCATCTTCTACGCTGGTAACGTCGGTGACCCATGGGGTAGCAACATCATCGAAGTGACCGCACAGAACGCCTCTCAGTACAAGCACGTCGTCGAGTTCGAGGGCAACAGCTCTCAGGCCTGGACTGTCGTTTTCTGGAACAAGATCGGCCCCGATGGAAAGCTCACCGGCTGGTACGGCAACGACGCTCTCAAGTTCACCCTCGAGCCCGGTGAGACCCGCTACGTTGCCTTTGACGACGACACCCAGGGTGGCTGGGCTGCCGCTGAGGGTGAGGACATTCCCAAGGACTCGTTCGGTGGCTACAGCTCTACATGGGGTGAGTTCGATTTCTCGAGCTCTACCAACAATGGCTGGTCCGGCTGGGATGTTTCCGCAATCCAGGCCCAGGCCGCCAAGAAGCCCGTCCAGGGTATGAAGCTCTGCACCCACGACAACCAGAAGTGCTCCACCATCACCGGCAACGCTGCCAGCGTGGTCAACGCCTACACCGAGGCCCTCAAGACCGTCAACGGCATTGGTGGTAACGAGCAGAATGGTGCCATCCGTCTCTCCGCGAAGCTTGACTTTAACGAGTAAATGCTTGTTTCTTTTTTGATTTAATTTTAGAGCTGTCTTTGTCTGCTATTTTGCGTCTTTCCTTTCTGCAAATTATTCGGATCTCTTTTGGAGGGCCGGGGCTTCGTGCCGGTGCCGGTCCTTCATGTGGTTTCCTTGTCTGTAAATACCTTTATACCACAGTCTCTATTCATTTTATTGGTCTTTCATTTTCAACTTAGAGCGTAACTCTTTATTCTCGTAAATCTAAAAGCACTGCAAGCCGGACGTGCGTTTGACCCAGCCTCGTAGGGAGTATCCGTGCCCCTGTCATAGTTCAATAACCAACAGCAAAGAAACCCTAATCCCGCTAGTCCAACGTACCGTACTTCATATTGAGATTAATATATTCTCTTGGCTTGATCTCGCTCTTGGTTTTCTCGTCTAAATATAGGAAAGGGGAATAGTCTAGATACTTTTGTACCCCGTATCAAGGACCAAGACGAGTTAGGGCAGTTTTGTTTTACGAGTGCATACTAGTACTTCGCATGTAGAGTAAATTAATACAACGTACGTAAATAGTATGTACTATTAGTAGCTATAAATAATAAGTAGATATTAACTATAGCAAAAGTTTGTATCGAATTGCACTTATAGGATCTCTTTTGTTCGTTCGAGATTCTCTCCTGGTCCTTTGTACTACAGGGGCTCTTTCTCTTTAATCGTTTTTTTTGGTATTATTCTATTTATGCTTTTCGTCTATTGGAATATAGCGTATACGTGTAACCTGATTCCGTCTTGCACGGGGTACTTTTCTGTTAAGCTCTCTCGTCTAGACTTGACTCGAGAGTGATATCCAACATAACAATAGACTATTTTAGCGACGACCAGAATAGGTTTCTTGCTCTTTGTCGATTATAGAAACTGTTAGGAACGACGCATAGACCGGTCCATGCATAACCCTACCACAAGGTATACTGGTAATCGCAGTATTGTTATTCTCAGAAGATACCGAGTATCTTTTCATTATGCCGCCCTCTTCATTTTGAATACATCGCACGCATCCGAATACAGACATGATGTTCCCATTAACGGAGTGATTGCATGGGTTGTCATGCAGCTTAATAGAATATGTCTGCTTTCATACGAACCATGAACCTTGGGTACTCGCTTGACCCGACTTTTGTGGCGCAATTAGCAAGAAAACCTTCGGCCGCGTTTCTTGATAGCTTTCTTGTCAAAGAATGGGGTGGCGTTTTCTTTGGGGAGATGAGTGGTCGGAATGGTTTGTGTTTCATCGTTTGTCCAGCATATTGGACCGTCCGTATCTTCATTTCTCTGGTTGTCGTATCTTATGACTATATCGTAGTCATATAATAGGGAAGTGGTTTCGATAGTGTAGAGTATATCCAACCAAGACTGTCAAACGTAAGACTCATTCCCGTTTTCTTTGGCGGAATCGAGGGGGATACTTCCTTCATTGACTTCTCGCTTCAGTGAGTAATCATGCTGGTTTTCCAAGTGGGTCCTCAAAAGCTGGTTGTCTTTGTATTCTATCGTGTACTTGGAGCGGAGACAGGCTTTCTATGTTCCTTTGCTGGCGTGGTTTTCATCTTCGTTCGGGGGACGATCGTGCTCTACCCATATATTCTCAAGGATCTCATTTGAGGATGGCTAGAGTATTTTTCCTTGATAAGCTAGAGGCATGATGTCGTCGACGTAGACCAGCATCAACATCCTGTGTTGCGACATTGTTAGCGTGGGCCTGGCTTGTTTCAAAAAGATCTTCCATTGGAAAAATCTTGACGTGCCTCTTCAGAGGCTGGTTGCGTTTGAAACTGACTGGGCGACTTCAGATTTGGACAGCATGTGAAAGTCCGTACGTTCCAGTCTGACTTTCTTTTCTTTGAATTATTGTAGAGCTCCCAGAGATACAAGCGCTCATTTACATAAGCGACATGGCTGGTCTCTATTGTGGCGGTTTTGAAGCATAGATGTCTTGCGCCTCGCTAGGAACATGTTAAGCAAAAGTTCTAGCGATGAATAAAGTCTTAGGCCGGTCCACACATCTCCTAATGGGCTTCAAACCGAAGAGGAATGAATCTCGTTGTCTGAATGACCAAAGGTCTTCGTCCCAGGACATTTGGTCCAGGGCACTCTTTATGGGGGAATGTCTTTATTGCTTTGAGGTATCTCCTTGGAGGCTGGTTTAGCTCGAACCAAACTCCGTACTCTGGGCAGTGTCGCCAGGAACATCTGCCTGTCCTGTACGGTAAAAGCTTCTGGACTCTTTCAGGATAACCTGTACTTTCTTCTTAGATGCTGGCGAAGTTTGTGCATTGAGATGTGAAGCTCCTCGCATACATCTGTACCCACGAGAAACTGGTGTCAGGGAGCATTTTTCAATTGACTGCAAGCTGATGGGCGCGCATTTTCTTGTACGAATCGTACAAGGTTTCGTCCGCTGGAAAAACCTTATGCTGACGTTAAACGTGCTTGTCGAGAACAGTTAGTTGGATTTTCTGAAAGCGTCCCTTGCACCTTCATATGTGTAAGGTAGGATTGCTTCGGCCCTTTTAAAGCACGTGGCCGCGTGTGCTCTAGCATATGCCAGTACCGAGTTGGAGTAGCTCGGACAATAAAGCTCGAGGAGACTTGATCCCTCAATTGTTTTCTTTAACCACTGTGGATAATCAGGGAGACTTTGACTGGTCTCGCGAAACAATTGTCGGCGAAAAGAGTCGATGAAAATTGTTCGGCTGCATGCACAAAACTTGATCAACGCAGTCAATATCCTCTTTCACGCCAAGCTGTTCTGAGACGAGAATTCTCTTCACTTAAATAGTGCATGTTTGGGCATAGACTACGCTCTCCAGTCTCGCAATTCTGATCATTAACGCCTGAGCTTTCACTATCCTTGCTCAAAGCGCTAGCTGTGTTATTATTCTGACACCAAGCGTTTGCTGATGTGCTGGATTCAAATATTGACAGCTCAAGATTTTTCTCATGGCCCATAGATGGGATCAAGGCTCAATAGCAAATGACCTCCTCTGAGGGCAGTTTCCGCTCAATGACTGAACAACCCATACAGAGTGCTAAACCAGACGCTACACACCTACAAGAGAGCCCAGGCACCATGGACCAAGGCAATGACAGCAATAACGCGCACCAGCACCCCCGACAGATCCTACCTGACCGTGAAGTGTTCAAAGGAGACATTGCTTCCTATCAGAACTTCAAACACCTCCTGAAAGCAAAGCTCTATGTTGACAGGCAAGCCTTGGGAGGTCCCTATGAATGCCTTTGGTATGCTTATGGACGATTGTCTAGCAATGCAGCCAGTCATATTCTCTTATGAATAATTGCCAACACTGATTCTCCCACTGCAGTAAATGACGACACAGTAGCCAAACTTTTTGAGCACCTTGATTTCGACTAAATGGACAAGGAGCTTCAGAGGAAGGCCATGCACAACCTCAGCGCATTAAAACAAGGCAGTAGGACTATCAATGAACTGCTTTCAACCTTTGACTGCTACTTGATGGAAGCCAGCCAACAGAACCAGCCTGATAATATGAAGATATTCTGGTTGGAAAACACCCTCAATGATGATATCTTCAACTTACTTGTTAACACACCCACTTGCAATACATTTAGACTGTGTCCAACTCCAGAGTGTCTATGATAAACACCAGAAGTACCAGCAGCACACTGCAGAACACCAGTGTGTGTGTGTGTGTGTGTATATCTATTTTACGTCGAGGTTCGGGTCTTTCCACGCATCCTTTGGAAGTGGGAAATCGGGAGCGGAAAAGCCCTGGTCCCGGTGCGGGACATACGACGGGCAGATCGGAACTGCCTGTTACCTAGCTAAACTACCATCTATCATCTAATAAAGGGAAGAGAGAGGGGGGGGTTTTCATGACTGTCAAACAGCAAATTGAGCGTATTGGTTTGAAATGAAAAGCAAGAACGCGAACAAGAAAGGCAGAAAGTAGTACAATGAAAGGGGAAATAAAGGGAAGAGAGAGATAGAGGGGGGGAGACCAGAGGTAAGCCTGGACGCCCTGAATTTGGCAAGTTTAGGCGTCTAATGGCGTCGGCAGATGGCTGTATAGAAGTGTGATTTTCCCAGCCACTCTGCATAGGCCGTGAATCCTGCCTTTGTGCTGAGAATATCAGTCACTGGCTGGCGGCCCCATGGATGTGCTGCTGCTTTGCGACCCTCTGCAGTGATAGAAGTGGGATGGCTCCTTTCTGTGACCACATGAGCATGTCAGCAGGGCATCCTCGTGTTTGAAGCGCTCATGGTACTCTACAAAGTCACCATGGTCGCTCCTGGCGGCAAGGAGGCGGCCCAGGGCTGTTCGTGGAAGGAGGAGCTCTGGGGGACGTTTCTCTAGGCCTATCCCGAGGTCCTTGTATCATTTGGGGGCCTTTTCTGACCAGATCTGTACAAAGGCGTTCCAGCGCATCCTCTGAGTTATTCGCTTGGCGGCTGCTATTGAGGCAGGTGCCCAACAAGTAAAGAAAACGAGGAGGGCTAGGGGCTCTGCCCTACGCCCGAATGCCCCGGGCAAAAAGGCCGGTTTCGGGGCGAGGAACAGGTACGAGAATGTCATATAAGTAGTAAAACCGAAAGGGACGGGGGGAGACCCACCGTCCAGGCACGGGCAGTCTGCCATAGTCCCAGGAGCTGAATATGGACTATAAACTTGAATAAATCACTCAATCAATCGCGGAGGGTGGTTCGGGGTATGTCAAAGTGGCGTGCTGCTTCGCTAATAGAGAGGATTTCTTGCTTCTTTATAGCCTGGATAGCTAGTAAGATCCTACTCTCCTGCTCTATTAAATTTCGAGAGCTTTGAGAGCGAATTGGTGGCATGGTGGGTGGTTGAAGTATTAGAGTCTAATTAATCAACGCGTTTCGCGTTGGGGTGGCGGCTCGCTTGGGATGGTGGCTCGCTTGGGAATTACGTTAGTTATGTCACGGGCCCGGAATAGTTAGTTAGTTACTAGTAGATACTAACGAACTGAATTCCTATCTAAACTATTGTAGCCATCGACGAGAATATCGAATCTGGAGAAGAAAAGGAAAGAAGAGGAAAGGCCTATTTACATGAAGATATTGGTAGGAGTTGTGCGGCATCGCTAAACAGCTGTTTGTCTTAATTGCCTGCATGGCATCGTTTGCCATGTTGATGATGTTTGTCGATAAAGGCGCTGAGCTGAGCCGTCACAGCCCACAGGATCAAGTCAACCAGTTTTCATAAGCTTTCAAGAAATCGCCCAGACATGGTCAAACCACACTCAAGCACCCGGCATACAGCCAGGCAGGGTGCAGGTGAAATACAGGCATTGAAGGCAATGAAGAAGCTGGCAAAGAAGCCAAGATGGGCTGCCATGGCCCCCCTGGAACTCCCTATAGCACCTACCTTAATAGCAGCCGCCAAGCGGGCAGCCCAGAGGGTACACTGGCAGGCTTTTGCACAGTACTGGTCAGGAAAGACCCCCAAACGATACAAGGACCTTGGAATAGGCTTAGAAAAACGCCCCCCCCCCAAGAGCTCATTTTGCACATCAGTCCAGGTCGACTGCAATTAAGTCTATCAAAATTAACGCAATTAAGCCTACTGACAAACTCATCCCAGGCGAATTTTCTGTTCACAGCCAACCGAACTTCCGCAGCTATGCTGAAACGCGGCACATTCCCCAGAACAGCATTGACCTGCTCTTCGACCCAGGCTGTTGTCGCGTTTGCTCGGATAGCAGGTATGGGTTTCCTGTGATTCTTGATGGATTCATGGACCCGCGCTGCTCTTCTCCAATGGGTTTTGAATTCATTGTCTGGAATGCTCGCGCGGATTTCTGGAGAGTTCTGGAGGTGCTTGTATAGTTGTGCAATGGCTTCGTCGAGCTTGCTGCGGGCGTTCAGCAGCAATCCTAGCATTTGCTTGTACTTTGCGTAGCGTTCGGGGGCTGGAAGTTTTCAATGTGTGTGAGGGCTGGGGTGAGGTTGGGATTATTTCGTCGGACGGATTCGACGAGAGCCCTCAATGGGGTGAAGTCGTTGGTTATCAGACCACTCATTTTGACTGCTAGATAGCAGAGACATTTGTTTTTGATGTGTCGGGAAGAGATCGTAATGGTGAGGAGAACAGAATGATAAAAAGAAATAGTCATGTGACATGATAGCTACACATTTTAGCGCTAAAATACAACTACAATTCGCCCTAAGCAGCCAAGAAGTCACTCGCACTGAGATCAAGGTTGCTCAAATCCACGTCCCCTGCCTCATCTTTTTGTGCTTCCGCTTCCTCCTCGATAACAACACCGAACAACCCTACATGAAACACATATCCAATCAACGCAGCAACACCACCTGCCACCATCGCCATAGACAGAAAGACATCTTTCTTCTGGCCGGTGACATATTGCGACAGAGCCTGCTTCTCAATTCCAGATAGGTCAGAGGACTCGGCTGCCTCGCGCAGGCGGTTGTTGTTGCGAATGTCGCGCACGATAGGAGTCGCATCAACTAGGGTATTGAGCAGTGTACCCCCAACCTTAACCGCGTTGACCCGCTCAGGAGCTTGCCAGGGTAAAGGGGACGAGGACGATCGAACGCCATCCAGCGCTTGAGCAACATCCACCTTGTTACCAACGCAGCGTTTCAGCATGCGCCCCGTGTATGAAGTCACGCCAGGCCCCTTGCTCTGCATCGCATCGCGCAGCCATGTATACGACATCTCCGGCACAACCGCAAGAGCCATAAATCCCAGCGCCAAGCAGTCCAAGCTACATGGCGCAGAGTCGGATAGGAGATATTCCTTTTCGCCCAGTATCTCCTCCAAAGGCTCGAACAGCTCCGCTGTCAAGCCTTCCAGCTTGAATTGGTTCTGCTGCGAGGTCTTGCCCAGCAGACCCGAAACGGTGTCGCGCGGCCGCTTGATGAAGTTCTGTGGAACTTGTCCGGCGGCGGCGGCGGCAGAGTGTTCGCGCTTTCGCTGTTCCTCGAGGGCGTCAAGGTCGAGCGAGGAAACGCCCAGGTGTTCTGTGCGGGTTTTGGCAGCGGAGTGTAACTTCGGAGGGAGGATCCATTGATTCGGCCATTGGAGGATAGAAGCGTAGGCAGGGGAGGTGTGGTTGTAGTAGTTTTGACTCGTGACGTAGAGGGAGAGATCGAGAAGGGGTTGACCACGGGATTCCAGGAAAGAGGAGAATCTATAGTACAGTTAGTTCAACCATTTGTCACTCACCAGCACAGGTAACATACGCTATGTTATCCGCCCTCTGGACCTCACCCAACCCCCGATCCAAATCCCACGACCCATCCGAATATTGACGAACATAATCCACAATATTCCTAAACCGACTCACCCAGGTCGATCCATTTCTCAACGCAGGCAGTTCGTCTAGTCATAGTCATAGCGCGTCAATAAATTGATCTTGATTTTTCAAATCAAACAATTCTCCGAAACGAGTGGGCACTCACTAGTCGGCGACACGGAAGGATCACTACTTGGAACCAGCACCCAGTTCTCCCTGGGAACAGCGAGCGAAAAGTAGGCAACAGCCGCTAGACATTGCGGGTCAATGGAGGGGAGCGAAAATGCAGGGCCCCAGATATGCAGTTCCAGAACCATGATAAGGAAGGATTTTGGGATGCGCTGGGAGGGGAGGGATTGGTAGTGAGCGGAAGTTGGGGATCACGTGGGTGTGGTTGTTTGCGCGGAGGCGGAGTATCCTGCCGGATTGGGGTATATTGCAGGTATGTATGTACGAGTATCATTCTGTATTACAATGCATGCGATGCAGTTCTCATTGGTAAGGTATTATTGATAAGGTATTATTGGCAAGGTGATAATGCTATCACAGCTATATCTGATGCCATTTGATAGCGATGTCAGTGCGCGCTTCATATGAACGAAACAGGTACATAGCCACCTACGGATAAGTGATTAACAGCCTGTCTTATACTCTGATCAACCGCGGACACTAATTCCATCCATTCAGATTCAATAGCAGACTCACGATCCCGATCCATCCGGCGATAAGGCCTCTAGATGGTGCCATAGTGATGCTATCTGAAAAGGAGTGCATATCAGAGAATTCTACGATGGGCAAGCGTTAGTCCCGACACTATCGATTTCTTCAGCATAGCCGGCGACATGAGACTAGTGTCGATAGTGAAACCTTCGTCTAGTACGATAGCGGTGCAGTACAGAGTACGTAGTAGTAAGATGGATGTTGTGTGCTGTAAATGCAAGACAGAAGCAGAACTGCTCTGTTGGTGTTGGGTATATATTAATCTATTGTACATGCCATCGATTCAGATAAATTCAAGTCCCCATGCATCGCAATAAAACAAAAAGAAACCAGAAATAAGAGGTAAATGAAGAATGTAGCCAAAAGTAGCAGTCCCAAGAGATTCCACCCCGCATCTCGGTAATCAAGATGAGACCAATAGGCCATAGACCAATTGATCATGCATGGCCATGGCATGTCGCGCACGTCCGTTGCCTGATCCTTTCGATGGAATGATTTGTGATGATAGTCAGATTGCGCGATAAGGTGCAACGTCGAAGAATCTCAAGGTGCCGTCACCGAGCGAGAATAATTAGGACCAGGCGCCCGCGCGTTGTCCGAGTAGAATAGTGGTGGGGGGGGAAACAACGCCTCAGATAGATGCGCGGCGAGTCATATGCAGTAGAATGTAAAGTAATGTAAATCGAAGTTTTTAAGCCGAATGAATCATGATATCAAGATGCTGGTAGAATGCAAGTTCCCATATCGTAAACGCCCTCGAGGGTTTTTGTAGTTGGCAATTGTCTTAAAGGAGTGAAGCAAAGCCGCTCGAGTATAACCGGGTCATCAAGTCGTCAAGAGCCCATGGTAGATAATTATTTGGGCAGCGGAGGAAGAGGGCCCTTGGGAGGGGGGCCAGGGCAAGGAGGGAATTGCGAAGTGTTTCCGACAGAAGGCATTGTATAGGTGGTGGTTGTAGTGGAAAAGGAGCGTAGAGTATAGAGTAGTGACTTTGTAGTAGTGATAACTGGTAGTCTTGTAATCTTGTAGATAGAAGAGTTGAATGATGAGCCATCCAGACGAAACATGGCCGGTTCTTATAGTGCGATCCCCCGTTGTCTGGTTTTTTTTTTTTTTTTTTTTTTTTTTTTTTTTTTTTTCTCTCTGAGTCTTTCCCAGGAGATGGACCCACATCAAGTTTAGTCGGGGTGGATCGGCGGTGACGTCGTGGTACCGGATGTACCTGAATCCTGATTGGCTTGGCCTGGTAGTCGATAAGTCATGGACTGCCGCAAAAGGAAATAAGGGAGAAATCTTCTAGAAGCTGTTTTCCGTCCAAACTCCACCGGCCGGCCGTGTGGCTGCGGAGTGTTTCGGTACGGTATCTTCTTTGTAATTCTTGATTTTTGACCTTCCCATTTGGAAACTATTAGCCGAGCACTACCAACTATTGTTACCTACAAAGTTGTACTCAGACGGCGACTCCGGAGGCTCTAGTACACTGTAGTTAGAGCGGCTAGATTATTACACTCTCTTTGTGTGTGGTGACACTACTCAGCCTGATCAGTGAGATTATCACGTACAGGGATTTTCACAGCGCTACGATAACGCCAACCGTCTCCTGAATCAATCAGAAATCGGGATTGCTGCAGGGATTATGCAGGCGCATTGACAGAAGTGCTTTTGTTTTTGGTTCTTTGCCTTTTCTCTGCCACTCTCGCGCTGTATTTTTCAACACGTGCGGTTTGCAGATCAGGTGCCCGCCGAAAAAGGGGAGGATCATCCAGCTTTCATTCAAACCGCCCGAAGCGCTTGATGTGACATGCTCCAGAGTACTGGAACTGTACAGAGTCAGGTTACTACTTGCACTACAGAGTACTCCATACGGAGTCTCTCGCTCCGATTCTTACGCGAATGCTGACTGAATAACCGGATTCAGGGGTAATCCGGTGTTTCTGGCAGATATGACAGGTCCATTTTTTTTTTTTTTCTTTTCTCTTTTTCGCGCTCGGATCCTGCAGTTTCAGGGGTAAGAAGCCGGCCATTGCACTTGTTTTACCTTGCGCATGGGGCTTTTTGGTAGCCTTGCAGGAAATTCATGAATATCATTATACTTTTCCGTCGCAATTCCCTGCACCCCAGGGTGCTCTGCTCCGTCTCTGTCCTGTCTATTCACTAGTGGCTAGTGCACTCTGCCATATCCATCCATCGCAGCGTTATCTTAAAACCAACGGTCAGACCGCTATGAGTCACTCGTATACGAGGGGGATATACACTCTGTGGTTGCCTGTCAGGATGGAATCCTTGATGACCGGTCTCATGATCAGTTGTAGTCATAATGATCATATGTTGTACGTGCCATCCCTGCGCTGTGCCTCTTTTTTTCTCCTCAGTGCCGGTTGATCATGTATGTCACTGCGGCAGGAGATCATTGTTGTGGGCTGTGGACTTGATGGAGGGTTATGACTACTGCAAGATGGATCACGCAATGTGGATGTTGCAGTTTCAGCTTTGTTGCCACTTGTCGATATGCAGGAACACCGGGTCTCAATTCTTGGCTTATGCCTGCCGTACAGTACAGCGCTTGTAATGTGGCTGGGCGGCTAAAGCAATCAAGTGGGGAAATGTAAAATGAAGCCCCCTCTCCACTGTCGAGAAGAAAAGCGTTCATTCCGCACCGTTGGGTTCCGTCCGTTCCTTTCCTGTTCCTGTTTCCTCTCCTTTCTTTGAACTCTCTGAACCTACGTTTATTATGGGGAACACACTTCATTGCCGTGATCATCGCTGTTTCGCGGAAATTAAGCACTTGAAGCGATAGCCTCGGTACGGAACAATGGAGTTATCCTTTTGCTAGTACAGAGTATGTATGTACTCCGTTAAAAGGGAAGACCCGACAACTCAAAACCTGTTTTACACTTTTCCAGAAGATGTTTATTTCCCAGACAAGACAAGACACGTATCCAAAGTCTGACTCCCAGGCTCTGTTAATTAGAGCCGGTCATTCATCGGATTTACCATACCATAACCAATAATACCCGTTCCTTACCAGCACAGTACCGTATCAACCCTTTCCAGAATCCTTCCCGAAGCCTTCTCTCGCCCTTCCATCCCGATCCAGTAATCCATACTTACTCGTACACAGGCGCACTCTCTGGTACGGGTGGCTCCAGCGTTCGTCTCTGGGCTCCAGTGCGGTCCACCATGAACCGTTTTGAGTAACTCAAGGTGGAAAATAATTGCGGTCTGTCGTGGAATTGATCCAGAATGACGTTGAGTTGCTGTCTATCGGTATCGTTTGCCGTAGCTGCTATACGGAGTTACTCTTATGCTACCGAGTAGGCGGGTCGGGAATTTCTCGGGACGGAGGACTCGGATTACGGATTACTACTCCGTAGCGTAGCATTTGGAAAGACGGTGTAGGCTGTGATAGTAATTTCATCTAAGACTATGGAGTACAGTGAAAAAAATTTTTCATGGCTTTCGATAAAGCACAGTACTAACACAGAAACCACATTGATCCGTTCTCAGTTCACCTGCATGGATCGTAGTAGGTTAATCATTATTGCGCCACGCCGCAACTCTAAAGGGGGATCTTCAATGCTCCGGTACGTGTACAGAAAGGAGAAAGATGATCCAGTCTGAAACGAGATCTGTTTGGCTCGTCTTTTTTTCTTGGGAGGGGGGGGGGGGGGCTGTTGTGTTACCACAGTCTTGGGACGAGACGAAACGGCTACAGGTACTTTATTCTTAACTGGGTTGATACAGGGTGTTGTTTTGGACATGTCGGATATCAATTGATTAAGGGTGTGTTGTACAGCATATACGGAGTACAAGAAGTATAAAACAGTCGACTCGTTCTTACTTGTCGTATGCAATGCAGAGACCCTGTACTCCATACCTGCAATGCTGTGTTACCAGCTGTCAGGATTCAACGGCTCATCGGCCTGTGTTACTATGATCGGAGTCTATTGCCGACAAATCCGGCGCCCCTGTCATCTGACAGTGAAGCAGGGAAAGTCCGCTGCGTGATTACTGCCCATGTCTGGCCGGACTGCGGATAAGATTCTGTAAGAATCTGGCCATTCTAGGCATGTAGGCATGGATACGGTTCCTGGCCTTCCGAATTGTACAACCTTGGCACTGGCCCTTCCGAGGATGACCGGCAATGCCCCCAGGCAGCTTATTCCTCATCCATGTCCCCCTGGGCCTGAGTGGCCATCCATTCCTCCATGAGGACTTGGCGCTTCGGTTCAGCCGTGTCAGCCTGCTTAGCGGCGACGCCTTTGCGCGTGACCAGTAGGCACAGCACCCAGCCGTAGATGTTGAAACTCTCGTAATTCGTCTGGAACCGCAGTTTCTTCTCATCTTGGTCCTCCTCGTCTAACGCTGCGTGTTTGCCTTTTTGCCTTTTCGATGTCCGTTGATGCTCTGGCGATGCGTCGGGTAAATCTGTCTCTGCTGGTCGCTTGGTAGACGTGTCGTCATCTGTGGCGGCAGGAATATTATGCAGGCTCGGCTCTGTCTCGTCGTCGTTGTCGTCGTCGCTTTCGACTAGGATCCCCGTATCAGCTGAGCCGGCAGCTTGGTCTATGGGTTTCCTCTTTTGTGCATCGTCGGGTTCTTCGAATGTCTTTTGTCGCGTGAGAAGCGAATGACGCGTGCGGGATTCACGAAGGAACAAGGCAACCTCAAAGTCATCTACCACCAGTCAGTCAATAACAATTTAATAAAGTGGTCATGACACACTTATCACATACCCTCGGCGATCACATCTTTAACCGGATTCCCTTTCTTCCTGGTTAAAAGCCGTTCATTTTCCTCACGCAACTTGGGCAGGACGAGCGGTCGGATGGTGGCGAAGATCCGCGGGAGGACGGGATCGCGGGAGTTGAGCAGCCATCGGGTGTCAGAGGGGTTGTCGAGGTAGATTCGACATTCTAGGACGGAGTATTTGCTGATTCTGAGATATCGGCGGATGGGTGGCATGTTGAGGTGCAGGAAGTGGAGAGAGGGGCGGAAACCATCTCCAACGGCGATGACTCTGGCACGGGCATCACGTACATACAGAGAGTACTATCAAGTTTGTACAAATACATACAGAGCACTAACTACGGAATGCTGACTGATCATAGGTGTGTGTTCGTACACTCTAAAATATATCTGGCTACAGATATTACACTGCTGAACAAAATATATTCTCATTGGCACAGCAATATATATCGGACCGGAGTTCTGCGCATCCTCCGTAGTCGGACACAACAATCCACAGCGTTCAATATCAACCAACCTCTCGCTAATGCGCGATTTCAACTCTAAGACAGCACTTGTCCATAGTCTACTCCAGCAATGCAGTACGGCGGGGTCAACGCCGCTCTTAATCTCTCAATCTGAGATACGTACTGTACAGAGTACTCCGTACTAACATCGAGAGTCCTGCCTGAAGACCCCGTGCTGTGGTCAATGACAGCCAGATCTGTAGCTTATCTGCACTGCAACTACATGCAACCTTAAGAGGGTAGAGTACCTTGTAGGAATCAACGACGACTTTTACCATCTCCCATAAGGCTCGGTCGCGTGTCGAGATGAAGCCGGATTGGGAATAGTTCCTTGCGGGTACAACCGTCTACATGCTATTATTTAATGGGGGATCTGATTGGTGGATGGGAGACCCCCGCGGGATCGGGTTAGCCTCAGGGACGACAGGACGACATCTGAACAGCAGAACAACTCATAGAGAGAGAGAGAGAGAGAGAGTACGGAGTACAGGATAGAGCATTCAGTACAGAGTATCTGAATAGCTGCTCTTGGCTCCAGGTAAGATATCCTCACTATACAATACTGAAAGTGCAGTGCTGACACAAGCAGGGTTACCGTCCCCAAGGTCCTCAAGGTCCCCGCCGAAAAATTCCTGAGTGCTTGACGTCGTCCACTTTCTCCCAAGGTCCTCATGATCCCACCGAGCGAAAGAGACTTCCACCACCATGCCTCCCCTCCTCTATTGCCAAAGTCAGCGCATTAGCCGCTGTCATCGTCTCCGTTATTATCGTCGTCGTTTCAGATCTTGACAGTCCCTTCCGGCCGATTTCGAAATACCTCATCCATCTCTCTCTCCGCCGGCGCAGTCTATACAGAATCCTACGGGTACCCAGGACCACTCTTTGTCTAGAGTACTTCTGCTAAAGGTCCTCATCCTGGTCTCACCTGGCTCAGTCTGGCTCAGTCTGGCTCAACCGAACTCGACTATCCCTGCTGTTGTTTCGTGTGAACCTCTCGTTTAGGAAGCCTTGCCGCAACAGAGGACCTTGAGGACGACCTAAGACGACGGCAACGCCCGAATTGCTGCCTTTAACATATACACACGCGGCCATTCACACTCGTCCATCCTCATTAATCTACCGTACGAGCGACCTTGGCATTAAATTAAAAGTGCATCGCCAGACTCAATACGAGAACCTTGGTTGGAGCAAGCTATTTGACGCTCAGGAGATCGCTGGTACTTATATCTCGGCCTGCTGCACGTCTCCTCTCTCTTTTCTTGTCCATCTCTTGTCACGCTTGGCCTGGTGCTTGTTTAAATCCTTCGTTTTTATTGGGCCATTCAGTCGCACATTTCTGGTCGCCCGTCAAATCTCAGATCGGCCCGTGCCACAAGTTTTATTTTTTTATTTTTTTTATTTTTTTATAACTCTCCCTTTTGTTTCTCCTCGAGTCGCCTTTTTCTAGCCGACAATGGCGTCTCAATTGATTCATACACTCGCCCCTCGGGCGGAAACCTGCGACACTAGCAACGACTATGACGGCCGCATGGGTTTGCGTATTTCTTCCGTCTTCGTCATCTTGATCGCTTCGACCTTTGGCGCTGTCTTCCCCGTCATGGCCCGTCACCTGAGCAACTCCGGTGTTTTTAAATGGGGCTTCTTCATCGCCAAGTTCTTCGGTTCTGGTGTCATTATTGCGACTGCATTCATCCATCTTCTCGGTCCTGCAGAGGAAGCTCTGACCAATGAATGTCTTACGGGCCCCATTACCGACTACAGCTGGGTGGAAGGAATCATCCTGATGACCGTTGTGGTCTTGTTCTTTGTGGAGCTTATGGTAATGCGGTATGCTCACTTTGGCGCGGACCACGCCCACGAGGCGGTCGGAGATCATAGCCCAACAGTCATCGAAGCCCCGATACACGACTCCAAGGACCACGTCCCCGGCCAGGATCACCTGGGCCACTCGCGCGAGCACGTCGATGAGGAAGCAGGTCTGAAGGAACGTGTCGAAGAGTACATGGCGCAATTGACCGCGGTTTTCATTCTCGAATTCGGTGTCATCTTCCACTCCGTCTTCATCGGTCTCACCCTAGCTGTGTCTGGCGACGAGTTCATCACCCTGTACATTGTCCTTGTTTTCCACCAAATGTTCGAAGGCCTGGGTCTGGGATCCCGTCTGGCAATGATCCCGTGGCCGCGCTCCAAGCGGTGGACACCCTACATCCTGGGCATCGCCTTCGGTCTGTCGACGCCCATCGCCATTGCCATCGGCCTGGGTGTGCGCAAGAGCTACCCCCCAGAGGGCTACACGACGCTCATCGTCAATGGCGTGTTCGACTCGATCTCCGCCGGTATCCTCATCTACACTGCCCTGGTGGAGCTGATGGCGCACGAATTCATGTTCAGCGCCTCGATGCGGAAGGCTCCGATCCACGAGGTCCTTGCTGCGTTTTTCCTTTTGTGTCTGGGTGGTTTGCTGATGGCGCTCTTGGGTAAATGGGCTTAAAAAATGGGATTTATGGGTAATGGATATTTATGGTTTCTTTTTTTTTTTTCAGTTTTTAAAAGGTACATATGGGATAAACTAAGTTATTATTGCATTGTTAGCAAATGAATTGCTTTCTTTAATATTTATTCTGTGCCCCGTAGCGTTACCATAGCTCCCGTCCCAACTTCCGTAGTGAACTTGAACCTCCGCTCCGCACCCACACCCAACAACTGTCATCAACACCACACCCACCACCACCACACCCACCACTACTACTCACCACCCGACCGATACCAAAATGAACCTCCTAAAATACCTCTCCCTAACCCTCCTCGCCCCCGTGGCCCTCGCCTCCTCTCCCTCCCTCGACATCAAAACAACCAAATCCGTCTCCTGCACCCGCAAAACCCAACCCGGCGACACAGTCCAAATGCACTACCGCGGTGCCCTGGCCGACGGCAACGAATTCGACTCCAGCTATAAGCGTCACGCGCCGTTGGTGTTTCCCGTGGGGAAGGGGGTTGTTATTAAGGGGTATGTTCTCCCCGTGTATTAGGATTGCGTTGCGTTGCGCGAGGTTTGATTGGATGACTGGGTTGAATGGCTTGCTGATAATGAGGGCAGATGGGATCAAGGATTACTCGACATGTGCGTTGGAGAGAAACGGACGCTGACTATTCCGCCCGAGTATGGGTATGGGAGTCGGGGGGTGGGTCCGATTCCGGGGGGTGCGACGTTGGTGTTTGAGACGGAGTTAGTGGGGATTGAGGGGGTTGATAAGGATGAACTTTGATTCTATATATCAGGAGAAAGAGATCCTCTAGGGTATCACTATGCTATGCAGATGCAATATTGTACAGAATGAGATGTATACATATCCAACAATCCAAACTTGACCCAATTCCACGGGAGGAAGATCAATCCATAGCATCCAATGCATTCTCCTCCTCATCCTCACCAACCAAAATCCCCACCAAACACTCCCCCAGTATAGCATCCCAATTCACCCACGGATGAACCTCCAAAAACAACTTCGCAGAATCCTTCCCCGCCCCCCTCAACAACTCCCCCTTCCCGCCCGGATGAAACGGCACATACGGCTGGATATTAAACACTTTCCCTTGATACGACGTCCACGCGTCGCGGCCCTTTCGTCCATTTTGTATCTTGAGCATTGAGGGCGTTACGCGGATGAGTTGCGCGGGGAGGTTTTCGCCGCGGAGGTTGGCTTTTGGGTTCGAGGTTAGGGCGGCCCAGTCTAGGGGGGAGAAGCCGGGTTCGAGGACTGCTCTTTTCGAGGAGGGGGCGGTTGAGGAGGGGAGTTTGAGGGAGGCTTGGACGGGTGGTGCGAGGCTGTTGGTTGGTGGTGCGAGGCGTTGGGGGCCGCGTTGTGAGGATGCGGCGGAGGGAGGGGGTGCGAGGGAGTTGCTGTTGAGGCGTGGCGGTTTGCGTCCGGGGATGGGGCCGGGGCTCAGGAACTGGGATTGCTGTTGTTGTCCTGTTGCGCGGTTTCGAGGGAGAGGAGGAGGGGGCATTAAGGAGGAAGAATCTGCTTGCGGCGATAGTGTTGACGAAGGCGACGGCGACGGCGTCGGTGGGAGTGGTCGTGGTGGCATTGTGGCGGCTTGTCTGGCCACTGTATCGGTGGAAGAATTATGATGAAGAGAGGAATTGTTATGGTTCGAGGAAGCTGTAGATTTTGCCGATCTGTCTTCCGCCGCGGAGTCATCGAGATCGAGGACGGGCACTTCTAGCACCGGTGCGCTCGCGGATGCTTTTGGTGTTGATTGTTCCTCTGCATTTTCTTCGTTTTCTTTCGCAGACACCGGTTCTATCTTTGGAATAACGGGCGGTTTGGCCTTATCCGTGGTTCGCGCATTATTTCGCGGAGGAGCTTCGGGGATCGATCCCGGGGGCGTTGAGGCTGGCTCCGATGACCATGTATGAGGGGGGAAACGGTAGAGTACGTAGCATGCCGTTGCAATTATCGTGGCCACTCCTACCCAGCCCATACTGGGCAGTAGTTAAGAAAAGAGGCGAAGTAAAGAAGAATTATGGGAGAATGAAGGTGTTGAAGATGCAGAGTCGCAAAATAAAAGAAACGACGCCGATGGATGCCGCTGCTTACTATTACCCCTGGTCTAGACTATCCCACATTTTCCGATCGATATGATCCTACTGGGATATTAATTGATCGCTGATGCTAACTAAATATGGCATCCAATCATTCATGCCTAATATCTAATGGCGATCAACTGCTACGGGGCGATTGACTGGAACGGATATCCCCAGACAACCAAATATCCACCTCTAGCCACCAACCTCTTAAAAAAAAAAAAAAAAAAAAAAAAAAAAAAAAGAACATACAATCGAATGAGTCTGGGGAAAATATCCTATTAGCCTCAGCGGCCATGATGTCAGGTAACCATCATCCCGGGCACAAATATCCGTGGACTCGATTCGCCTTCCATGGCTTTGGGTCTTGTATATATGCGGGCTGTTTAATTACATCTATCCCTATTTCACCATATCACTATGGCAGTGAAAACACTGCGGGAAATGTTCCGAAACGTTCTTATGGCAACTCCAGATTCCCTCCTGTTGTTTGATGCAGGTGTTGGGCAGGTGAGCGTTCCTGAATAATAAGACGAGAACATACTGATTTAGTATAGGCTCAAGGAGGACGACCTCACCAGGAAGATCGTTGTACATTCATTCTACCGGACCAGTTTCCTGCTCGTACGGAACATAAACTGGCGCTCTTTGCCGTCTACGATGGACAGTAAGTTCTCGTATTATCACGACATGGACAGGGCTGATGCATATAGTGGCTCCGAATTGGTAGCAGAACACGCAAGTCGGAATCTGCATAATTTACTCGCGAAGCGTCCGGAGTTCCAAAAGGGCGACTACGAAGCAGCCATAAAGGCCGCCCTGTCGGACGAGGATGCCATCTTGCTCGAGAGGTATCGAAATGAAACCCGCGAGCCTGCAGTGTCTGGCTCAACAGTTGCCCTATGTTTCTTCAACCTAACAATGGGGGAGTTGGTTGTTGCCAATTTAGGGGACTCGCATGCTGTTCTGGCTGAGCGGGATCCCAAATATGATACTCCGTTTCGTATCGTAAGTTTTTGTCGCTCTATTCCTCGGATAAAGGAAATGAGTGTTAATTCATAGTGCCTAGCGACGGCTGACAGTGAGCCACAAACCGGACGTCCCCACAGAGAGATCCCGGATCGAAGAGGCCGGCGGTACTGTCAACAGGAGCACCGGGACGGCGCGAGTTGGTGAGTTAGCCTGTTCATATCTCACATAGCCATATACTGACAAGATAGGATCCCTCAACATGTCCCGAGCCATAGGCGACCTTCAATACAAAAACCCCATCAACAATATGGACGATAACGCATCCACCTCTTCCTCTTCGTCCTCTTCATCTACCTCATCGTTCTCATCTGCTTTTTCTAAACTCCGCCGCGCATCATCAGCATCGTCTGCCCCGGAAAACCGCGGCAACTTCCTCTCCAACGAACCCTATATGTCGAGATTCAAACTCTCCCCTGGGAAACGCTACATACTCGTGATTGAGTCTGATGGTATTAGCGACTATATGGATGACAATACCTTGATGCAGTATGTGACGAAGCTGTCTTCGCGGGGGAATAGGGCTGGGAAGATTGCGCAGGAAATGGCCGCTTCGACTACGAGTCGGAAGGGGAGTGATAATGGGTCTTGTATCGTTATTTTTCTGGATGGGCAGAATGCGTGATGTCTGTTCCAGTAATTTTGCTGTTGATTCAAAGCGATATAGCATTGGATGATTCAAAATGTTCCATGAGGTAGCGAATATGTACTATAGCTTCTGAGCGCGGTGTATTAACATACTTGGACATAGAATTGAAAACAATAGATTATCGCATAGATTCTTAATGCTTTCAGACCTGTTCATTTATTCTAATTTTGAGAAAAATAGCTCAAATATACTAAGTGTAGCCCTACCGGTAAAAAATCACATGACACCGCGCTCCAACCGCGTCACTCCCAACACGCCGCGAGAACACCGGACGACACAAACCCAAACACCATGTATCCCAATGCCATCGATACCCCCGACCCCAATTTAATCCTAACCGACCTAAACCCCGCCCAACGAACCGCTGTCTCCTCCCCCTCCCCAATCCTCCAAGTCCTCGCCCCCCCGGGCTCCGGCAAAACCAAGACCCTAACCGCGCGCGTCGCGTACCTCCTCGCCCACCATGGCTACCGCCCACAAGATGTCATATGCTGCACGTTCACGATCAAAGCGAGTCGCGAGATGCGCGAGCGGATTGCGCGGTTGATGGGAGGGCAGGTGGAGGCGAGGTTGGTGCTGGGGACGTTCCATTCGATTTGTCGGCGGTATTTGGTGAGTTATGGGTATTTGATTGGGTTGCAGAGGGGGTTTGGGATTGCGGATTCGAGTGATAGTTTGGCGATTATTAGGGTATGTATCTTTGTGTGTGAATGGTTGGGTTGTTGCTCATGTGGTTGTGGTATAGAGGATCGTGCAGCGGGGAAAGCTTGGTATTCAGCCTAATACGGCGCGGGCGAGGATATCGCATCAGAAGGCTCATGGGGTGGATCCGGATCAAGCGGCCGCGAAGTATGGGAATCAGAAGATCATGGAGCAGCAGGAGTTTGTCCGGGTTTACTACGAGTACGAGAAAGAGCTGGCGACATGCAATCTGCTGGACTACGATGATTTACTTGTGCGATGCGTCGAGCTGCTCCGACATCATCCGCATTGCGTGTCGAACGTCCAGGCCGTCCTCGTCGATGAATTCCAAGATACGAACCATATCCAATACGAGTTGATGAACCTCTTCGCGTCAGCGAACAGACGCATCACCGTCGTCGGAGACCCAGACCAGAGTATCTACGGATTCCGATCAGCGGAGATCAAGAACCTCGCGCGCATGCAGAAACTATATCGGAATACGTCTGTCATTCTTCTAGAAGATAACTACCGATCATCCGGGTCGATCCTGAACTCCGCGCAAGATGTCATCGAGCAGGATGCGTCCAGACCTGCGAAGAAACTGCAGCCGACGCACAGCGTTGGAACACTACCTGTGCTACGCAAGCTGCCTTCCGCCATAGCAGAAGCACAATGGATCGTCCTTGAGATTCAGAGATGCGTGGCGACGACCGGTTCTCTTCTCAAATACTCGGACTTTGCTATTTTGCTTCGTTCTGCGGCTTTGTCGCGACAAATCGAAGCTGAGATGGGAAAGGTTGGGATGCCGTACAGAATGGTTGGAGGGTTGAGGTTCTTCGACAGAGTCGAGATTAAGATACTGTTGGATTATATGAGGGTCGTCAGTTCGCCTGGGAATAGCGAGGCGCTCATGCGCGTCATAAATGTCCCGCCCCGAAGGATTGGTGACGAGACAACTCGGATGCTCGTGAGCGGTGCTCAGAAATCGAGTGTATCATTATGGGATTTCATCAGAGATGTTGCGCGTGGTCATAAATCGACCGAGAAGGCCTTGTCGAAACTGACGGATCAAGGTCTGTCATCATTTGTCGGCATCATTGAGTCCTCCCGACAGAAACTGCAGGAATGTGCCGATGGTACTGCACCAAGGAAGCTCCTTGATTTCATAATAAAGAAGATTTCTTTTCGCGACTATCTTACAGCGACGCACGGCCAGAACGAAGAGAACCGATGGGCCAACGTTGAGGAATTGTTGAACCAAGCAAGCGACGTACCAAGTCCAAACGAAGAAGAAGAGGAAGAAGGAAACCTCCCTTCAATTGAGGGCGTCGAGCAACAACAGGCTCATCCCGGCGAGGATGCATTGTCTCACTTCTTGGCGAATGTAGCCTTATCAACCGAAGTCCTTCCACAGAATAACGAGAACGAACAGGAAGGGGAACAGCAGCCAGATGAAAAGGTCACCATTTCTACAATCCACGCAGCAAAAGGTTTAGAATGGCCGGTTGTGTTTTTGCCGGCGGTATACAACGGGGTAATTCCTCACTCGCGAGCAGAAGACCAGGATGAAGAAAGGCGATTGCTTTACGTGGCCATGACCAGAGCGCAGGCGCTCCTTTATTTGAGTGTTCCTCTTCGCATTTCAAGAAATGGCGAGGAATCAGAAACATCTCCAACGAGCTTTATTCCATCAAAAATCATTGAGACGCGTTTTCGCCCTACCGGTCCGAGTTTTCGGGAGCACGCTGTTTATATGATTGCGGATATCCTACGTCGGCCGCGACCGGCTTCTGCAGACATGCTCAAGGCACGAACGGAAATCCCATCCACGCTCGACGATCGATGGACAGCAGAAGGCAAGGAGCATCCGAACCTTGTCACTAAGTGGGATGGCTCTATCGCGGGCGAAGAACCTTGTCCCAAGAGACGAAGATACGACCAGGGCTCAGGTAACGCGACGACTACGTACATGACTGGGTTTACGATGGGCAATACTTCCAGCTTTTCCGTGCCAACCACGATGTCATCTGGGTTTTCTACGGCTCGAGAGTATATAGCGACGTCAACTGCAGCAGAGCAAGAGTCAAAGACAAGCGAGGCTACCGATAAAGCCAAGCCCAGCGCGGCAAGTCGCAAACCTGGTCTTTCACAAGGGACTATATCGAGCTTTTTCGGACAGCCTTCATCCAAACCCAAAGCATCGCCGCAATCATCGCAACCTCCTCCCAGGAACCCAGTTGGACAACAAACTGCATCAAATCCAGCGTTCAGAAGCGTCCTCCCATCGCAACTCCCGCCTCGTCGCCTCCCACAAGCGCAAACCCTCCAACCACCACGTCCAGCGCTTGAACCATCCGATCCAAACAATTACACGTGGCTCTCCACACCCTCAATGCCAACGGGGAAACCAATCCGAAGAAAGGCAACGTCTCAAGAAGAGAACGAGACCCAGACAAACCAAGGGACCAACGAAGCACAAAGCAACCCAGGCGCAGCGAACGGCGTACGACCAGCGACCACGTTCCACACAACTACGATGTCGATGGTACAGCAGCCAAGAAAAACGTTGGGGATTCGACGGACGATGATGAATGGATGGCAGGAACGGATGAATCGGGCGCCCAATGGGAATGGGAATGGGAGTTCGGGATTATGATGACTTATGCATACGGTTTAATGGGGTATCTATGGCGTTTGTGGCGGTTTATGAAATTTATGACCTGGCGTTTAGATATTTGATTGACAGCATGGCATGCTACTTGTACGAATAGTGATTGTCTGTACTTTGTATGGCGCCTAGACGGTACTTTGGGCACGAGTTCTAGCCTCTAATGGAATAGTGCCGATCGCCTGATGTACTTCTTCCAATGTGCGACGACCAGCGACCAGGCATAGAAAGATGAGTCTTTACATTGCTTGAGCATATGTTAACGAGATACCCAGTACAACTTGCCTCAACGTCAGGGTCCATGAAACGACGCCAAGGCCATTCCCTGGTATTGCTACATTGTCGTGTCACGGTCTATATTATGGGATATATATCTCGGTATGACGATCAAAGTACTGCTTCGCTACGGCTTTCTGGAAGGTCGGTTATCTGGAACCGAGCCTTTATCTTCAATTGGGGACTAGACTCACAGTAATACCGCATTAAAAACAAAATTAAAAGGTCGATGCTAGAAACGTCTACGAAATAAAATGGTCGCTGTATCCGTTAACGATTTGACACTACGGGGTTGATCTCTAACACGGATATCTTCATTTGCTATAGATCTATGAGTATTGCTCACTATGGGTTCCATATTATTGATTGCTCTGCTCCCTATAGACCATGGTGTACCCATTGGCTATGGACTGTACTCTGTATACATTCTGGACCCCTTGTTTAATATAGATGAAGACCTAAACTGGACAGACAATCCACAAGGCTATGAATAACTCATTATGATTTGATATAATAATCCCACCGTTATCTTTCCCTACCGTTTCACAAGGCTAGATACCATGTACTCCGTTCTCCGTATGGAGTACTCCATAATCCCTCCCCTCCATACGGTGTACCATCTGTACCCCATATGCACCACGATCACCCACATTCTAGAACATACAATACATACACCCCTACAAGCACCAATACCAATACCAATACCAATCTATTAAACCCACTATCAATCAGCCCTTTTTTGCATCCTGTCTGTCTGTCCTCGATAACTAGTCTAAACCCCGCAAATCAATCACGCGGGACTCGGGCATTCACCGCTAGTACTTTGTGCACTTGACCGCCAATTAGTACCAAAAGCCAGGCGCGCCAGGGAGACTTTTGGCTGCCGCTGTCTTCTGCCCCGTGGATCAGGGATCCGGGCACGCTTGATCGGCTTAGTACGAGTGTACGGAGTATTTAGACTTCTTTTTTAGTTCTGCCATGGATCGTTAGTACGGGGTAGAGAGAGTCGCACGGTGGTCGGAGGTGTGTTCCGTTTGGTTATTGGTGATAGCGGATAGCGGGATGGATGCTTCGTAAGTGTGCTATCTATGAATAAGTTAGTGGTATCCCGCGGATTCCGGGGTTAGCTAGCCACCCCCATGGCTACGGAGTGCTCTGTACGGGGGTCTAAGTATGAGGATTACCTGATAGGGATTGATAGGATCTACGGTACAGGTACTATGTACAGGGACAGGATGCCGTACAGTACTGCTGACCTGACTGCACACCGTATGCCGTGCACCGTTATGCTGTATCTCGGCAAAGGCGCGGTACTATGTATGAGGCATATTACTCTGTAGATAGACAATTCGAATGGGATCCAATAGTTACAAGTACAGGAAATGAAGCTATCCCAATTGAAACACGGAATGCGACAGGTATGATCTGGACGAACCCACTTTAGGCGTTAGTCTCGACCTGTCTCTGGCTGCTTCATGTAATGTACTATGTATGGATCTCATGATGGAATTGGACAAAGTACGACTACGGAATATTCGATAGGGAGTAACTATGGGGTATCCCATCGGCACGGAGCAGCAGAGTATGTACAGAGTTGTACACATAATCATAACAACTGACTGAAATGGGATGATTCCAGCCCGTTTTTTAAAAATAGCCCGGGTGTGTAATAATGTAATGGTATTACAGGGACACGGCATGTTATTGGAGGTGTCCCTGTGGTATTTTTGTATGTAAGTTACCAAAGGGATGGACCGGTCCGATAATAGTACGTAGCAATAGTACGGCGTAGTATAGGAGAGGATATACTAAATAGTTACTGGGGCAAAACATGACGAAAGCGAGACACCAGCCTCAATCCCGCCTTCTAGAATATTGTATATCGTCATAAGCCATAGATCATAATAATAATACAGGGGGCAATCAGGGCAATCAGCCTCATTGCTGCGCCATAATTGTTTGTTTTGTATGTATCATTCTTGGGTAGGATAGGGTAAGGCTGCCTTGGATGCAGCCTGAATGAATTATGCCGGAGACCAGTCAGAGTGCGGGATAAGTATGCTATGCCAGGCATCAGTTCCAGGGGAGCGACACGAAGTGGCAGTGAATTCGCTCTCAATCGTCAATTAAAAAAAGAAGCAGGTGACGCCTGAAAGAAGAAATGAGTGCCTGGAGATCCAGTCGGTAACTGGCATACCAGACGTAACGAAATACGGGCCGTGGTTGGTCGCCTCGTTTCCAGGAGGGTGGTGACCCCTGGCATCAATACGGTATTACGAATACAGCCATGATCGTCTTTGCAGAAGGACACTAAGAATATGGAGACATACTCCGATGGATCATGGAGTGACGTCCCTGAGTTTGGGATAGGCTAATCCACTATGGTGTACTCGTATGCGGCTTTGTTTGGGCCTGGAAGTTTGCCTGTTTAGGTCTTATTCTATTTCTATTCACTACTGTTCCGGCCAGATACAAAAGGCGTCTCATCTCCCGTCTTCATCTCACTCAATCACTCCAGCTCTCTACAACACAATCACTACTCTGCTATACTCTGCTATACTCTGCTATACTCTACTACTACACCACTACCATTACATCTTATACTTAATACACCATGCCTACCAAGCCCAACAACGACTCCAACACCACCCTCGCCAGCAATGGCAGTACAGACCAAGTCGTCGTCATGCAGGGTACGCTCGCTTCTCTTTACCAATGGTCTCTTTCAATGCTAATTATATCTCAGGTCCCAATGGTGGTCGTAAAGCTCCCGTCGTCATCCACCAAGGTGGTCAGACCTATGACGAGACAAGACCCTCGGACTGGGACAAGCAGCGCTGGAAGTAAACTCTCCCAGCGCAACCTAGTCCGGTCCAAATCATCCAGCAGCATCCCGCCGGCCGGGATCTATCTACTTCAAACTCGACCTATACGAGATTAATTGCGGCTGCTGGATGATAACACGGGATGATAAACGGGGGGAACGCGCTCTATCGTGATATCCGCGCGGCTTCGACCAAAAGTGAGGCGACGATCGACGAATGAGCTTAAAGCTCATACTTCTCGACCCGACAATCAACATTTCTCGACTTTCCATCTTCATTCCGGGCTCGAATTGAGAAGCCAGTCACCGCCATCTCCTGATCATTCACGCGCGCAACGCAAGCTTTCAAACTCCAAACTTTCATCGAGCTTTCCCCGGATTATCCTGCATTATTTTTCCCGCTTTCCGCTTGGACCCGGACCTGGACTCTTCGTCTTGTCTTGTCTTTTTCCCCACACACGCCTTTTTAATACCTTATGACGGCGCTATTGTATTTGTCCCGGTGGTGTTTGTTCTGTTTGCTTTTCCCTTTGTCCACGGTGTTCTCTCATTCCTGGTGTTCTCTGCATTTCCTAAGTTTCTGCCGTGTTTGGCATCCTCCGGTCTATCATCCCGATCTATTCCCTTTTGGCAATAGTGGATGATCCACCCCCTGTCACCTGACCGACCCCTTGCTGGGACAAACAGGACAAACACGGCAAACATTGCATTCTGTATCATTACTGCTTTTGCCCTTTGTTTTTGCGAGGAGTTTCTCTGCTTTCTTTCGGTGTTGACTCGGAGTCGGATTCGGGATTTTGTGCTGGTCGATGTGACTACACTTGATGTTTTCTTTTGTCAGTGGACTTCGCTGTGGTTCCTTTCGGACGCTAATTATCTGGTTGGGATGGGTGGGATGTACGATACTGGACTACTATCTCTGGTACTACAATACTTAATCAATACTACTATATTCAAATGAGTCTGTTTCTTCTCTGTTGTCCGAACTTCAAAGATCCAGGACAGGATTCATGAATAGCAGAGGCATTCGAATCAGGATGATATGGTTTCGCTACCAAGAAATAACGGTGTACACCATGCTCCGAAGATGCCGAACCTAGATCCTTCAGGATAAACCTAAAGTTTACTTGGAGAAGTGGATGAGAGTACCTTGGGATCAGCTCTAGTCCGTATTCACCGTACCCTTCATCTGGCCGTGGGACCTACTAGAACCAAACACTCATCCATAATCCTGTTAGACAGATCATTCCTATAGCGTTGATATGGCATATACCAGCTAAATGAAGACAGACATTTTGTCATATGTTCGTGCCACTTCCTGACGCATCCATCGGCCATCATACAGTCTGTATAGACGGCGCTTTTCCAACGTACACGCACCTCGACACAATTGAGAGCTCATTCGGACCATTGAAAGACGCATGCGATGTATGAACACAACCCAAGTAGCCAGCATGGCAACAGAGGTGCCTGGAACAAGGCTGGTTCAGTGGAGAACGTATTCCACTCTGAAGTCTATACCACCATACGACCCGATTCTTCGACCTTCTCTGCCTTGTGGGCTGGTGTTAACGTTTCAAAGCCATCTATGAGGATACGAACCCTCAAGCAAAGGAAAAGCGAAGAAAATCTGCAAACGAACTCCCAGAACTGAAAACTACTCCAAGCAATCCTGGACAGGCGACGGCTTTACCAGTGATGCCCCGGCTTCTTTTAAGCTTGCATGGAGCGACTATACTCCTTCACTCTATCGTGAGTCTTGTCTTTAGCCCATGTACTTGGATAAAGTCTTTTCCTTCACTATCATAAAGGTAGATTCTTAGTATTTAGTGGACTTTTTGAGAGATTTCGAAATCGCCGTCGAGCATAGCAAGAAGACCGACGAACTTGTTAAAGGACGCATTGACATTATCTTGACATATATTCCGACATATGTCAAGAAATTGGAACTTGTAGATTTATCTGATATTAGTATGCAGGTCAAGACACTGGTTTATATCGTCTTTGCGTTACACACAGTCTACACAGAGATCCAAGAGGAGTAGAATTTGGCAACAGCTTGGAGAATGTTTTCTGGTCTATATAGACGACATAACCATCAAGCAACTACTCCAGACAGGCGCGAGAATTTGTTTGCAAGAAGAAACCTGCAAATCGGACTCTTGTTTCAGCAACTTGGGATACTCGCGTCAAGCCCATGACGAGCTCGAAGGAAAGAGACTATATGAACCTTCAACTAGATTGGCTCAGCATGCAAGATAACCGTCCGGTGTGGCTATTCAGGATTGCGATACCCACAGCAATTACTTAAACCATTAAAGACCAAAAATGGACCTACAAGGTGATATTAATGAGCATAGCGACAGCACAGCGATGTTAACTTCTAACCTGATTCGATTGGAGACTCGCCGTGAGGTGTGATGATTTAAGATGCCCCCTCCCCCCCGGCCGGATCCATGAATTACTACACATGGATTTTAAAGACTGGGGCCTATGGAACAATGGCCACGTCAGAGGTAAAAGAGAACATCAGGTTAGCGAGGCCCTATTACTACGACTGATCTGTCAACTCCTATACGAAAGCACTTTCGCCTTGAATCACGGAGACAGATCGTGTCTAGGTATAGGCAGCTATAACATTGCCAACTGGCTCTGAATGTGCTTGTCGATACCCTTGTTTGGTGTTTGGAGGAAAGACTTTGTTGCTTGCCCAGCCTTGAAAAAAGAGAGGATCATTATTAGTTGACCTTGTTTGTTGGGATATGGGGGAGGGGGAAAGGAAAGACTTACGGGTCACCAGGAAGTTGAATCCATTACGAATGGAACTCTGGTAACAGAGGAAATAGATGCCGCGTCTGTGCGTTGTCCTTTCCTTCTCTTCAGTCTCATCAATTTCAGGACCGAAGGTGATACTACGACGAATGATAGCGTTGGAGTTTATCACTTGCTGGTTGGCGATGACTTCTTCGTCGTCCGAGTCATCCGAGTCATCTGTGTCAATGTAGAGGTCTGCTCTAGGACGCATCTTGCGAATGTGAGCGGCGAAAGGACACTTTGTGTTCTTCGCGTTAGAACGTCTGTGGTCGAAATCAAAGTTGTTCGCAAAAATATGTTCCGGCTTATCGCCTTTAGGGTCTAGCTCAATCGGGGAGCCTGCAAAAGATCATTTCTGTTAGCTCCTTACTACCGATACATAAAAAGTCTGTCGATGGAAAATAATAATGAACATACCGTTCTTCCATCTTCCCATCAAATAAGCCGCAAGCTTCTCACCCGTGCCATCTTTGAATGATGACATCTTTTGGGGCACCTCTTTCACAAAGCTGGACAGATACATCAGCCTTGTTGTGCAGCACACCGAGACGATATTATGATATCTTGTTAAACTCCGGGACCTTCTCCTCAATCTCACGGAAAACAAGGAAACTGCCTTCCGTGGCCCAGGCTGGTTGTGCCGCTTTGTCACCCTCAAGGCCAGTGATGACCCAACTTTAAAACTCGCCAGCAAACTTCGCTGTCAAATGGTGGTTGGTTCTTTCTTACCCTGGGGGAATGCTGCTTTGGTCACCTTTTTGGGGGGAGTCGAGGCCTTTGATCTGAGGCTGAGATATTTCATCTTCAAATCCAAAGCTGAATAACAAGAAATCAAAGGTTAGTTATGAGGCATACTTCAAGCTCATCGAGAAAGATGGAAAAGATCAAAAGGAAAGAATGGATACTACTCACTATTCCTTGCCATGGAGGCTAACTTTGCCATCCTTGCCCGTCGACTATCCAGCTATCATTGGCAACAGACTGGGTTCCGGGAGGTTTGTATTCAGGGGCCAAACGCTCGGGCTCATCGGGACCTTCAAAGACCAGGTCCTCAGGATCCCATGTTGTCGTGAAAGTTGCGCTACCGGGGGAAGCAAAGAATTGATCGTCAGCCCAGGCCGACCAAAGGATGATATTGCCGTGGTCATTATGGTTTACTGCCGCGTGGGCACCTGCCACGGGAACGATGGGTAAATCGAGGGTTGGGCCCCAAGTACCAATAGATGGGTTGACAGGGGTAGTGTACCCGGCGGCGTAGATGGCGATTTCGACGATCCTGGTCCATTTTTTCTTGTACTTGGTGTCGGGAAATTTTCTGGGAGGTGCTTCACTCGTAGCAACGAGCTTCACGTATTGGGCAATTTACGGTTCGAAGACAGCGAGCTTCATGCTCTTGTTCCACCCCCAGAGTCCGTATGCAACTCTTGTCCAATTGCATCCATTCTTGCTGAGGAAAACCTCGTGCTTGCCAATCTGTCCACGAGCGTCATCACGCATGATAGGCAGTATGCTGAGGCCGTTCACATTCTGCTTCGAGCGCAGGTCGATGATGATCGAGTTATGTTGCGTTCCAGTGTTGGCGGTGCTGCTCCAGTACGTGTCGACCTGGCTGTCAAATACATTGTCGCACTTGGTGGATGCGCTTTCCTCACTAGAGCAATTCGCGACGAAGTTGGTTGAGTTGAGGCGGCTGCCCCCATGAGGTTTTGCTTGCCAGCAGTATTCCTCGGGGACAATGGCACTTTTTGTGGGAAAAACGATATCCTTCGAATCCGTAGCAAAATTCGGAAGATGGGAGGAGGCGGAGGCGTCAACATAGTTGACAGCAGCCCCGAGAAGGAGTCCTGAGGCCCATTGGAGCTTCATCTTCGAAGATAACAGACAATGGGTGTGTAGTGGTGTCCGAAGAAGAGAAAAAGAAAGAATGGATTCCGCGGATGGGCTAGAGTAGAAATACTGTCAGGACATACCGACATTGGTGATTCTCCAGCAAGGACAGATTGAAAAGCACGAGGTCTTAAGTACACTGTCTATAACAAAATATTATTAACCTTTTCATTTTTACATTTTTATTGCATAACAAGATTACAAGCAGAACTTTCCCGATCACGTTCCTTGCCCACATAGTGTTGAACCTGGACATATACATTACCCACAATATATCTTTGTGTCACATAACCAAGAAAGATTTAGAGCACTGTGCCCTTGTTCTGCTTCTTGTCTAAGCGGTAGTTTTTCCATATGGCAATGCTCGGAAGAGCGAGCACCAGAATCGCTGTGGCAGCAATGCAGCCGTACTTCTGGCTGTATCCCCAGGCGTAATTGACGGCGTTACGTTGGTCGGAGCCCAAAGGGTATTCTTTTTGAACCGAATAACCAGCATTAGAGATCTCCATGGCTTGAGACTTCATGTCACCCGGCAGTTTCGATCGCAGTGCATCAACAAAAAGGTTGTTGTAGATGGCCGACTGGACAGTGCCTCCAATGGCAAGGCCCAGGCTTTGGCAGAGACCAATGAGTGCCAGCATCATTGGGACTCCTTCACGGTCAGATGCAGCCATGACAGCCATCTCCTGGCCGATAACCAATGTACCACCCCCGAAAGCAATGAAGATCTGACACATGATAACATAGCCGATGTCATCACCACCCTCACCACGGAACTTGATCATTAGACCGGCTCCCAGGATCAAAAGGGGGGCTGCGAAACACAGGCAAGTGTATTTGAATTCCTTGGTGAAGCGCATCCAGAGCCCGATCACAACACCCCAGAAGCATGAGCCGACATTGTAGATCTGCGTCATATAGCCAGCCATACCTTGGCTAAGGTCAAACACAACAGTGCAGAAGTTGAGGAAATATAAATCCCAGCAGTAGAAGCTGAAATTGGTGACAATGGTGAGAACACAAGCACCCAACACCGTGCGCTTCTTGATCAGCTTATAATCAACAAAGTGCACGCGAGCAACGAACTTCTCCCAGGCAGCGAATAGGAAGAGCGTGAAGAAACCAATGATAAACATCGCAATGAAAGTGGCACTCTTGTACTCGGCTCTTCCGTAGGATGCCAAGCTGAAGGGCAGAAGAATGAGAATCCAACCAGCCATCAGTAATAGGGCACCAATGACTAGACATGTTAATGTGGAAACTTTCATAACTTTATCACGAGATGGAATACACACCATCAAAATCATGAAAATAATGCACGATGGACTGCACGATAGTACGACCACTATGCACATGTTTGTAAAGACCCAATCTCTGTCCCTTCCGCTCGTGAAACTTGAACACCGCAGCGAGAGGCAAGAAGACAGCTGGCATGATAATGCAGAAGGCACCATAGGCCCAGCGCCACCCACCGGTCTTGTTCACGAAGTTTTCCCCAGCCAATGAGCCAGTAAAGGCTGTACAAATGAATGGAGTACTGGCAAAGGCGAAGGCGAAGGCTCTGTTTCGCAGGCCAGATGTATCGGCGATGAAAACCTGCAGAATAAGGTAAATGGCATCGTAGCCAACCCAATATAATACATAGCCTGCCGCGTATGACGAGGGACCGTTGCATGATGCCAATATAATGAGACCTAGGAGATAGATAACCAAAGAGGCGCACAGCCCTTCAGCTCGACCCCAAATATTCAGAATTTTACCAACGGGTAGCTTGAGCACACCACCAATGATACTGGCCAGGATACTCGCCGTACTGATGGCTGGTGCGGCCATAAACCCAGAGTAGGCTGTTTGCTGGGCAATGATGCTGATAGCTGACTGAAGCGCCAGTAAGAAGAAACATACCCAAATCCTAGACATTCATTCCATGGTATTAGATCATGGCCGGTATGAGAAGACGGTGGAAAGTCTTACCAGGCGTACGTACACCACACAACCTTTTTACTCCATACTAACGCGACAGCCTCGGCCTTTCGCAAACCCAAATGGGCGTTTTCTGTAACATGGTCTGGCTGCGGGTCGATATCTCCTGAATCGCGTGCCTCTGAACTCTTTCTCTCCGGCTTGTTTTCTGAAACTTCGAGATTACTATCCGGATTTCCTTTAGATTAATGAGAATTCTTACCTGAAACATTAGCCTCGGTCGTGGTCTTTTCAGAACCTCGAGCAAACTCCAGAATACCCATTTTCAACGCCGGATAAAATGCGTATATTCACCGAGTAAAGAAGAGGGTGTCAGCTAAAAAAGAAAAGAAAAGAAAAGAAAAGAAAAAGATCAGCCATGGACCCCGGGCCCTTAATTATTTAAATTTCTCGCAGATGTCCGAACAGTGCCATCGCCAATCTCCTGACAGCTAGCGCGCAGGAATAAATCCATGCATGGAACGTGGGTTGGTGAGTGGGAAGATCAGATAATGGCAAGCTCGGAAGGATATCTGATTCACCAAAGACCAAGAGTAGCCCCATACCTGTCTCAGACGGACAAATTGGACATAAGCCCTAAACGACCTAGAAAATATCTGTGTACTATGATTCGTTCGGCCCAACCTTTGCCATGGGACTATAGGCGTATGAACCAAAGTTAGTCCGACCTAAAAGCCATATTACATAACACCTTCCGGTATGGCCGCCTGTTAAACGTCCGTGTGCTGCTTTTTATCAATCTTTTCCTCTCAAGACTCCCTTCTAGAACGTAGAACGTACAAATTAGAAGGATGAAGCCACCAGATAGACAGAAAAAAGGAATTGCAAACAAAGGATTGTAGAGAAAAAACTGCAAAAGAAGGGTGGCAAAAAACAAAACAAAAAAAAAAAAAAAAAAAAAAAAAAAAAAAATCACGGCCTTGGCAGGCAAACACTTCCGAAGCAGGGCAATGAGCCGATTTCTCGCATCTTCATAGTTGAAAATATGAAGTGTGGGTCTGAGACTAGAGAGGTTCGTGGCAAAAAGGTGTCAAAACTGCCTATCAAATTCGAGTAGCTTTTGATCGTTTACTCGATGAAGCATATGATGTTCAATGGCCAACTGCTAATGGCCGATGGTCGAGCTAATGAGTTCGTGACAGGTGGGAGAAGCCCTGGTAAAGGATTGAGTGATATATGAATGACAATCACAATCACATTATATCTCTACAACCTCAACTGATGGAAAATCATGAATGTTATACACATTGATCTGTCACAGCCATCAGAAGTAGAGGAAGCTGTGCAGAAATACAAGGATCAGGGTATGGTGTTACATAGCACAGTATCTCTTCCAGCTTCCAAAGTAGCCACAGTAGATGGAGCCAATGCTCCACTATTAATCCTTTGGAGAATTAAAGATCAAATGGTGTGAGAGTTGGATCGGATAGGCCGGATCCTGATCAATTTTGCAGTTCCCCAACTGAGTTGAATGCACCTGCCTTGTCCTGCCCAAAGTTATGCAGTATTGTCTGGTAGAAAATAATATAGAGGGCTTCCTACTCCTTTCATTTTCTGTACCATGTCAGACCCCTCCGCGGGACATGTCTCCGAGAGTTGTGTCGGATCAGCGGCTTGCTCTTCTCAACGAGCGTGCTAAAGAAATGGTCACCGAGATCAATCTTGTTGCTGATTACTGTGGAAATTTGCTAGAAAGTGCCAGAGCCTGCATCGTTACATTTTCTATTGAGGATTTTCTTGGGAGGATCAATATTTTCCCATCCAAGGGATACTTACCATCTGGGAGTTGGCTGTTTTGATCTTGCAGAAGAGCATATCTTTGACTTGCCCATATGTAAAGTTGGATACAAGGACCATGGAGCCGCAAAGGAACGCATTTCTCAGCTCGCCGAGCCACTGAGTGTTCCTCTTTGCTGCTTCTGAGCTGAAGCAGTACATGTACATCAGTGATCAGTACCTGATGCCGTGTAGCATCGCGAATGGGATGATATGCGTTGTCCTGGTGTATACTATACAGTGATTACATGTGATATGCAACAGTATCAGGTTATGCAATCACAGTTGCATAGTATAGCCTGAAAGCATGAAACATCAGCAACAATGTTTGCGCTTACATCCTTTTACCTCTTTGTCAAAATGGGCAAGCCACTCATGCTGCTTTAGACTGGCGACAATGTGGCATTTGACATTTAGACGCTTCCGGCGTCATAGATGATGGGTATCTTGAAGGTGATGAGGAAACTTGCACCATACTTTGGAGGCATGTTGAATTCTATATTGTCCGCAACCCGATACCCGGCAAAGTTTAGGCAGCTAGACGGCTCAATACTTAAGAGCCTGGCCAGCAAGGCCATCAACTTGACCTAGTTAATGATTACCTTTTCTGGCTGCCTCATTGTAGCCACAACACTGTCACAAATATATGCAACAATCTTAGTTCAGACAGGGATGAGGTTCCTGCCAGCAACCCCCGGCTGCAAGTCTCTACATCATAATTGCTACTATATCCAGAAATTGTACTTTTCTCAACTTCTCTACGGTAATAACAAGCATTCTTGGATTTTGAAGGATATTAAATTGAATACGGTGTATTCAAGTGACGACAGACTCATACACTAGCTGCGACGTCTCGTCGACGGTCGATAATGGCCTCTTTCATAAACGGACTGCGCGATCGAATCTCTTTGCCCCATTTGAGGACTAAGAACGGCATAGCGACGAGCACTAATGACAGGAATGCAAGAAGGGAACTCGCCCATTGCAATCCAAGATCTGTGTACATGGCTGTCGCAGCCAGAGGGAGAAATGCAATGGAGATATTCTCGGCTAGACCGACGGCCCCGAGAGCGCTCGCCGCATACTTGCTGTATGCATCGACAAGATAGTCGGCAATGCCTACAATGACAGCAGTCGTTCCAAGCCCCACCATGGCTAGGCCGACTGTGGGTGCGATCCAATGAATGAAAGGGTATGCGGTCCATCCGTATATAAACATCCCGCCGGTGACACCGAAGAATCCTCCAATAATCGATGGATACAGTCTGGCCTCAGGAATTGGTGTATCGGGAGCTTCGGTATTCCGGGCAGCAGAAGCGTAGTACCAGTGATTTGTGGAAATGCACAGTCCGCCGCCGAGAATTTCCCCAATAACAATCGCAGCTTGGACATATCCTGCCTGGACGGCATTCCAACCATAGAGTTTTCGGTACACTTGCTCGACTGACTGGGTGAAGAGGTAAATGATGCCAAGGCTATAGGCAGCCCAAAGAGCGGCAACAATCACGACATGTTCTGTACATAACATGTACAGAGGCCGTTGCACGCTCTTTATCATCACCTGATGCAGTGGTTTATGTTCAAGCTCCTCTTTTGTGTACGCCTTCTTCCCCTCTTGGCGCAGTCGTTTGGTCCTGGCGAACAGAATAGCCGACCCGCGAGTCTCAGGAAGACCGAAGACGAGAATAGGATATAGGGCGGCGGTCCAGATGAGTTCGATATAGCCAATCCAGCGCCAAGAAAGGAATTGAAGTATTGAGGACCCGATTACTGGGCCTATGCTGGTCGAACCGAGATATATTGTCACATAAAGACATATCGGCACACTCCGGGCTCGATTTCCTTGAAAAACATTCGACACGATACTAGCGACAGCATCGCTCATAATCGGCACACACCCACCACTAAAGAATCGAATCACGATCAGGGTTGCAAAGTTGTGCGCCAGACCGACTGGAATAAGGAAACAAACGAAGACGAAATATGTGCCCAGAACGACGGGTCGAACGCCAAAGTCCTCCATGACAGGAAACAAGAAAAGTGGAATCAGCGCAGCCCCGATTCCCCATGACGTGGTTGGCCAGTAGGAATGAGGGAACGCTGCATCTGAGATGTGGAATTCCTCGCGGATGGCTTGGTGGGCAACGGCAATGATGGTCCCGTTCATCGAACAGACATAACTCGCAAGGAGGCCTAGTCCAGTTGCCCACCATTTCTTCCGGAGGGGCCAATTGAAGGGATCTTGAGGATCGTCCGGTCCATTCCAAGCGACAATCACCGTGTCTAGATCATGGCATGGCCCTGTTTATAATCAGTTAAACCATTTCGAGACATTTGTGTGCAAGCAAACCTTCAGTGGGAGGGCCCGGTCCCTTCAGCCTGTCCATTACAATAGCCTCGTGTTCACGGTTCGCTGTAGAGACATCCATTCTCGCTCAATCTCTCGACAGAACAGAGCATAAACTGCTACAGACTTGTCCGGGAAACACGAGGAGAGTCGTAGTCATAGAAATAGCAGAATATTAGTGAAAGAGCCTCCTTTTGACTTGTGACCTTTCCCAACATTCATTGAAATCTACTACTTGCATGATACACTAGTACTAAAGAGGTAACTATCCGAATTAGGCAGGAGGCCAGAAAAAGCAAGTCGAAGTAACTAACGTAGTCCGCGGCTCGGCTGTGTCGGTTCGCCCGTGGACTACGTTAGTTAAAGACAAGTGGCTTTATTATCTAATCCTTGCGTCTCTTTGGGTTGTTGAAAGTGCTCTGCATTGATACAACTTCAATGCGGATATTATTACCAATCAGGAAATACCTAGCTAGGTATCTATCTCCAGAATGTCGAAAAGGCAGCTATCTTGGAAGCCGGGGTTTTCTCTGTCCAGGAAGCCTGTGAGAAGGTCAACGGCGCGTAAGACCAAGCGGGGAGCATTGGGAGATGCATCGCAATTTGTGTTTATTGCAGAGGACCCAAGAGTTTCTTCATCTATTGAACCTATTACTGACTGCCAGGCAAGTTCGGATTCTAATGGTAGCCTCTCTAATAAAAATTCGAGCCAAGTTGCTATTCTAGGGTCAAGTCCCGTGGCGGGGGACCCTCCTGCCTCTGTACCACCGACGATACTGTACAATGACCTTTCTGAACGTTTCAAACCTGTCCTCAATAGATGTATGCTCATTCTGCGCCTCTGTTTTACCATCATGACTGAACAATGCTAGATAACAGGGAGTTTTGCAAGATCCCATTGACAACCGACCAGCGGATCAACCCGTTTCAATACCACAGACCTCGACGCGGAGCCCATATTTCTGGTCCACGCAGTGATGGGACTGGCGAGTCATCACATTAAAAGTACATCCACCCAGAATCATCGCCATGCGGCAATTCAACTGCTCCGCGAGAGCCTTAACATGTACAGTAATCCGAGAGATGGTTATTTCATGCTGGACACAATTATCATTCTGTTCTCTTTGGATGTTAGTCACTTCCATGTGCTTGGTCTAATCCAAGCTAACGGTGTTTATTAGGAAACCCAGTCTTCCCTGGGAAATTGGAACACGCATCTGGTCGGGGCTTATGGTGTTCTAGAAGCTTGCGGTGGTATCCAAGGATTGGCCACGTCTGCTCGGGCAGAGGTTCAAGTAGGAATGCTTACATGGTACCACCAATAAGCCCATGCTTGTCCCTGAGATTCTAGCTGACTGTCTAGGTGGGATGCAATCACCAGTCTAGTATCGAGGGAAGACTGCGTGTTCCCGTACGCATACTGCGAAGCTGTCCTGTCAAATCAGAGCGATCGAGAATGGGATTATTTCGGACTCTGCGGGTGTCCAGCCAGTCTCGTCAAGATCGTCATGCAGCTGGCACGCCTGAGTGCAGAAAAGCGGAAATCATCCTCAATGCAGTAAGTCACATTCGACACCAACATAATCTTAGAACTCGAGCAGGCACTTGAGTTCTGGCATCATATCTCCCCTGCGACCGCCTTTCACGACGAAGATGGCATGCATTGTTCCGAGGCATGGCGAAATGGTCTTCTTTTATACATATACCGGGTGTTCCATTGGGAGCCTGGCAGCAGTATCCCAATGCACATTTTGCATCGTGCAAGAGCCATTGTGGACCACATAGTTGCGTGTCGCGATGAAAGCATGGTCTCCAGACAGGCCTTGTTGCCGCTGTTCTTTGCGGGCTGCGAGCTGAGAGATCGATCATTGCGCAGGAAGATTCTGAACTTCTGCTCTGTTTGGAATGAGCGGACGAGATATCATATGTTCAGCACCACCATCCCCTTGCTGGAAGAGATATGGGCGGAGCAAGAGACAAGGGGTTTCGAGAACGTGTGGTGGGGCCAGGTCATAGATCGACAGCACATGTCCGAGTCTTGTTATCCTTTGCAAAGGCGGATTACCTTTGGCTAATCAAAATATGCTTTATCAATGACCGGTGAAGCACAAGATGTGTAGTTATAGAGTGGTTGGTTTATACCCAACTGGGATGCGGACGGTCAATTTGTATCCACAAGCAGTTGACTGACTATATATAGAGTCAAATCTGGTTGATACACATCCTCGCACCCGCACACGTCACCCAGTCCCAATCTTCATTTAATCTTCGCGCCTGAATCCCATGTTATCACCCCGCAAGACACGCATCTTCTCCGCTAAAGCATCCATTTCAGCACGGGGGATATCCCGCGAATGGAATCCATCTTCTGCTGAACCCTCCACCGAATGTAATAACAAGGCCACACTGGAAGACTTCCACAGAGCGGCCTTGCGTCGAGAATTGAGACCAATAGAGCACGCGAGGAAAACTCCTGCCCCAGCGACAACTGTTATCGGCAAGATTACCCAGGGCCATTTCACATGGATATATGTCTCATTTTGGTACGCTACTCCGTTGGAAATGGTGCTGTTGGGTCCGGTTCGGATGTGTTCTGTCATGCCGCGGGCGATGTTTTCAGTGATCAGAGATAAATTCCCCTTGGACAAGACGTCTGGCACGACTCCGTCCTCCTTGCCAGTGGGGTATATTAATTCTGCATTAAAAATCTGCCTTAAAAGCTAAGCGGTTTTTGCTATATCTGCACCATGCACTTTGAAGTATAGCCCCGGTGGGAACTGGTCGCTTGTTGGTTTGAAGTAGTTCAATTTCGAATTGGGTGTCCTGACAAGTTCTAATGGGATGGGCACCTCTTTCTGTATGTTGAGAATATTTTGCTTGACCGTTATATCACTGTATAAGTAGCCGGCAAGACTCAGCCGACACTCGATTACTTCGAAATTTTCCAGGTCTCCGATCACCAACGGTCGCCATACGGCGAAGCTGGTAAGCTCTGTGTCGAGCTTAGGGGCGGTGGTATGTGTAGTCGTGTTTAGACAAGTGAACCGAAAAATAGCACTTTGATGAAGTTTTAATGAATTGAACTGAAAACCTCCAGGGGTGGTGATATTGCAAACTGTTGACCGTGTGTTGGGGAAATCTTGGCAACTATTATCGACTGACTTAGTGACATTATCACACTGGCCAACGACTCCCAGCGAGAGATTGCTGTAGGTATCTGACCATGTGCAGTTTGAGGTTGGACACTCAAATGCACGCGGTGGAAGGCCATCAAAAAGCCCGCTGAAGATGGATCCCTGCATGCCAAAGTCGGTGAACCCTTTTCCACTGTCAGCTCGTACAATACTAACTTGGGAGATATATGGAGACTCACCCTCTATGCTATTTTGCGGGTTATGGTATGCCCCTGAATCATAAGCCTGCGTGATCCTGAAAGACGCGCTGTTTTCTCCCATCGGAGCCTGACGACTTGGGAAGGACACCAATTGCTGTGCAAAGGGATCGAGCGCCAGGGAAATGACGGTGATAATTGCACCCAGAGCTCCTAAATTTATGCGTACTTCCCAGAGGAAGAATAGTGAACCCATAGGTCCACGACTTGCACTGTCGTACAAGTCCATATCATTCAACTTACGGGCCTTGTCGAAATGCAACCACTTCAACTGACTAATGCATTCAGCTACTGGAAGTAGTAAGCTAGTCTTTGATATTGTGGCAAGGATTGATATCACGGTGTTTGGCGCAATAGACATGTGCCACTTAGAGAGTGCTGTCCCCTGAAAATTGAGAAGGACGACCACCATTAAAACCACGCAGACAGCGCTGAGAATCCAAGAACCTATTTCCCACATCCAATTGTCTTTGCCCATCAGGAATTGACTTTTAGTCTTCAAACGAGACTCATCATCGTGACTGATGGTAGTAGCCTCTTGGTTCTGTGGCAGTGGGGAATTATGACTGATAGTTCTGTCATTGTCACATTCTGTCTCTGTTCCTGTTCTGTCTGGAAAGTTTTCGTTTCCTGGATTTATTGTGTTATTGTGATGGTCATATGAGTGTCGGGGTATCATTCTAACCAGGGCTTGAAATTAACGCTATATCTTCGGGTCTGTTGCTTTCCATCGACTCGTAACCCGAAGTATGTGAGGGCTCCGGTAATTCAGAGGGCATAGCTGACAATTTCGAACTTACTGTCGCTCATGCCAGAATATTAATTCTCAAAGAACTCTTGATTCTCCTTGTCATGTCGCTTTCGAGGTTTATATCATTCCTGTGTAGGAGAAGGCTGAGTTTGGCGGCAGTGCCTTACAGGGATATACCCTTTGTCCACAAATCATATGCTTTTATGCTTTGTAAATTGCCCTCTCAGCCTTGTCAATGTGGGCGGACTCCTGAATATTAGGGAATGCTACTTTGTATTACCATCGGCCAAGTTCAAAAGACAGCGGATTTTGCACATAATTTAAACAGCAGCCGCGGTACTGTACCGCATAGGAACCATTTCCATTATTTAATCTTTCGCTATACCTGCTCCCCAGTACCTGGCAGTTTCCGGATAATGTTCAATAGACTGATGCTTTCGTTAGGATTCATATCAGGGCTTGATATTGAGTTGAGCAGGATGTCGAGCCCCCCATCCACCTATCTCTACGATTGGTCATCATAGTCATTGACCGGAATTAATTGCATTCAAGGGCCCCAAGATACTAGCAAGTAGATGAACAATATCAAGACGATCGTGCGCTACCAAGTATGTCCCAAGTCAATGACCAGCCTCTCATAGATCCCTCGCGAAGTAAAAGAAGGCCCAAACGGGTCATCTCCCATCTTCTGCCCTTCAACCCAAGAAAGCCAGTGACTGATGACTTGTCGACACATCAAGATGTAATAGTCATTCCGGTCACTCTTCCGACGCACAGTTTGCAGGTCAGCGTAAATATTAGCAATCTCGATGATTTCAATTTCCTTTAGATCATCTGCGTAGATGTAGCTCAGTCCATAAAGGCTCTCAAACCCCATTTCCATGATCTCTTCCTGCTCAGCATGCGCCTCTCCTTTGATAATCTCGATATCTGTCACTATTTGCCCACCGGGAGCTAGTCCAGTATTTGCTTCTAGGAAGTATGGAGATGGACAAGGTTTTGCAAATTCCAGTAGTATGAGTTTGCGGTTGGAGCTGAGTTTGTCCATAAGGGGCTTTAGTTCAGCGAAGCCCATTTCAATATTGTGAAGTCGAGTCGTCATTCTGTCGATGAAAGACATTCTGGTTGTGCAGTGTCGTTGGTTGATGGAAGAGATACAGTCTGAACATATGGTAAAATGAGTCTACTAGGCAGAAATTGAGAGCCACGTCAACAAGGTATAAGATGCACAGGCAACTGTCTGCTGCCTCATTCTATCCGACAGCAGCATCTTGTACGTTTCGTCATTTCTTGGTAATACATTCATACAAAGATGGACCTACCCAAGCAAAATGGCGTGATTGCTGACCCCGTGCTCTCACCATCCAAAGGATTCAAGAATACCTCAAGACCCTGAGAGAAAGGGAGAGCGAAGACGAGTGGGCACAGAGAGAGGAAGAAGATGATGCATTTATTCACGACCTGCTAGAGTCTCCTGCAGATTTGCCTGTCGATACATTGGAATACCACGAAGTGCTCCAATTGCTACAATTGACGAGAACTTACGATGGTCCTCTCTTTCTTAAACCTGATAATAAACTGATCCCCGTGCCGGACAAACTTAGTAAGTGGTGACAGGTTGCTTGAGGGATTCTCAAATGTATTTGTGCATTATTAGCTTCTAACCAGTCTGCCTGTCACACAGATCATGCCCTCGAAGATATACAAGGTGGCTATAATGAAGATTGAACGGACGAAACCTTCAGCGAGAGGCTGAATGTGATCATGGAACATTGTATTCAGGGGAATACGCGTTTATAAGATCTCAACAGCCTCACAATCCCCCGAAAAGCCCGTTCAAAGTCTCTCTGGATACTGACCTAGAGCTACCCCTTAACGACGATAGTCGAACCGAGTTACTAAGCAGTAGCGTCGACTAACTAGTTATACTGTCTGGCACGACGATCAATCAATGGGCACGTCACTGATTGTTCTTGACGCGAAATGCACGGAGAATATGAGCCCCAGATATGTAGAGTGTCTCGCGTATCTCGGAATGATGAACCATATCCATAAGCGCGACGGTCAATGAAATGCAATCACATATGGTATCGTGTCGAACGGGTTCGAGTTCACCTTCTTGCATGTTGACAACAACCTCAGATGCTCCAAGTCGGCGGCTCCTGACATCTGGTGCGCTCGAACCTGAGACCAGATTTACACGAGAATCAGGTTGACGATCCAATAGCTAGGAGATCAGCACCTGGAGAGGCGGTAGATAGATTTTTTTATTTATTATTTATTTTTTATTAGGGCTCTGATTAATCGTCATAAGAACTGTCACAGAGGTACTTAGTAGCGATGAATATGATCAAGGAATGGCACCCGGTAATTTATACTAATAAACAGTGCTGCATATATTGCTTTACTAGCTGATCGGAAACAACATGTGTGATTGCATTTTACATTGACAGGTAGTACTTCAAGCTAAACTTTCGGTGAAGTACACTCTCATAGAACGATAATAACGATAATGGGAAACTGCCATGCATATCAGTAAAGAGGTAATTCTAAATTATTTCTAGCCCATAGCGCAGATAAAAGACTATCAGTAGTAACTTTCAAAGGCAAACCGGCCTCTTCACAAGCCGCCTGCAACTCCTTCTCGTCTCCAAGAAACATCTGTTCATAATGCCCATTCCACAACCGAAGAGTAATCTGCTGCAGAAGAGGAGTTGCAGTTCTCCAATTTGGAAGAAAAGCGTGTACATGATCATAGATTCTGCGGTCTTCCCAATCGGTTTCTCCCAGGGTAACCAGATCATCCCTTATGATAAACTCACGTAATGTTGATGGTAGGACATCGCTCAGGTTCGTTTTAAAGCTGCTTCCCGGGCACAAAATCCCAGGAGCACGTTTGCTGGAATCTCGGCGGTTCGTAGATTGCAGAATCTGTTTAGGATCCCGTGGAAAGGTTCCCATAACTCCTCATGCCAGTCGTCATGGTGGCTCTCGCCGAATCCACTGGGATAGTAGTCCAGACCAAGTGAACCAAGATGAAGTTTTCTCAGTTTCGGAATGCGCGTCAACAGAAATAGGACGTCCTCCTCTGAAATTGTTGACCGAGCTAACGCCAGCGAATTTAGGTCCACAGTTCTGTTTTCCAAATTTAACCTCGGATTTGTCCTGAGGTCGACGATATCTCGAAGCCAAATAGCCAGATGCTGAATATATGACAGGTAAAACCACCCGATAAACTGGTCTTGGTTGTAACAGAGGGGAAATCCATCAGGCATTGGTGCACGCATAGGTATTTCCCACTGCTCAGGGGGAGGCACATTTCCGCCGTAGTCGACCGACTGGAGGGAATCGAACGTGTTTAGCTCTCCAGACTTGGTTAGAAGAGAGTGCTTGACCATTCATCCAGGATATCCACCCATCCAGACAAAGGAATAGTCTAAGTAAAGCGTCTTGATTCCTGGGAGTTGAGAGAGGAGTATAGCCACAGTTGCATAAGCATCTCCGTCGTTGAGCGCCTGGATCCATTCTTCCGTATCTGAGAACTGGGCTCGATGAATGATATCGACACCCTTTTGGATCACATCTCCGAAGAGAGGTCGCTCTTCAACCCAGTTCACGTCGTGCTGAGGCGCTGTCCAAGGCCCTTCCGAGTCCAAGTCCCACCCTCTCAGACGCCGACCGGACTCGCGCTGGGACCATGGGCACACTGACGACAGGAGACTAACACAGCGCACTGACGGCGCTAAGTCTGGCCTGCTAATTATGGTTCGAAGAAGACGTAGAATGCGTCGCAGAGGTGGTGTCACCCAGTCCCAATTTATTTCGCAGTAGAGAAGTGGCTCCGATGAGGCGCGGAGTGCCTTGCATGTTGTTGAAACAGATAACAAATCATTGAATGAAAGGTACTCGAGAATAAGGACCCAGCAATCCTGGGGAAGGGAAGAAAACCCTCTGTGAGCGGAGGTGGGGTTCATGATGGGTGATGATGGCGGTGGGCGTGGAATGTGAGATTGCGATGTTGAAAATTTTCAACGAGGGTTTCGATGCTCAATATGGCTGTGCATGTTAATCATGGCCCTCATAGCTATGCAGGACTCTGGCTGTGCGATACCTCATGGCCAACATCTATGCTATTGCGGAGTAGGAGTCGGATATGATCAAGGAAGATGCGGACACTGGAAACTAGATCTACATAAGAAGTTGTGTCTTTTAGGGGCTCTCGGTGATCCCGGTGTTTACAAGCAGGATTTGTAGGCTAGTCCTGAAAAACAACGCACTCGGAATGTGTAACGGAAACGGTCGTTAATCCATCTCAACATCTATATAATAAGAATTATCAGACCAGACCTCTGTGTTCAAGTTAAGAGTATTTGACCAGTCATATGCTTTAATAAACACCGCTGCCCCTAAGCGTATTCAACCAGCTCGTAAAGAATAAAGTAAAACATAATATCAGAACACAATCAGTGACCATATCCGCTCATGTCAACTTTTGCTTGATGAAGAAAGACCGGAGATGCGACAATTGCCAGGCGCAGGCAGCCGACAAGACAACGAGTTGAATCATGGTCCAGCGGACGACACGCGAGTTGGTAGCTTCGGATTGATCACGGAATTCGGCCTCGCGTTCCTAAATACCCCATTAGCATCACGACAATCATTGTATAAGGACAGTTGGACTGAAGGGAAACATACCCGCTGGAACACCTGCTCCCGACGAATATCATGCAACCGTCCGTTCAAGTCCTTGACCTTCTGCACAATATCCTGCATCTTGCCCTTGTCCTCCGTCTCGATCTTGCTCGTCTCGCCAATGGCTATGTCAAGCGTAACCCGGATCGCATCCGACGCACCACCGGAGAGCCAGCCTCCGGACACATGGCTGCCATCGGGAGTCAAACAGATCTTGTGTTGACCAGCGTCGGCGGCGGAGAAAGTGAAGCGGCCGGAGTGACTGTCGCGCTTGGAAACGACTCGGTGGTCATTGTCGAAGGTCTCGTCGACGGTGATGAGCATCTTCACGTTGGAATCGATAGAGTACGTGTTGCCGGCTTGCGGGTTGGCGACTTCGGTTTTGAAGTGACCTGTTATATATTAGAATATACCATTCCCTCTATCTTCCCAAAAATCAATTGAAGGCCAACATACCAACCACCAGGGTATCTTTAGGAAGCTCCTCGAAGAAACACTTGGTCTGCTTCTCGCTCGTGTAGAAGTACAGAGCGTTTGCGGGGACGGAGAGACAGATAATGGCCAACACGACCAAAGTAGATGAGAGCCATGAGGCGGAGGATCTTGAAGGAGCCATTGTTAATTCTTGACTATCCTCAATTTTGTGTCTAGTGCGTTCAAGTCGTCGGAGTGTTGATTGTTGACAACGCTTGGAGATGCGGACGGCGAGATCTGGCAGTCTTGGCATTGCGCTCTCTTCCGTTCGAACTTTTTGCCGTTATCGTTCTACATTCTCCATCGTCCATCTCTCATCTCCGTCGCGAATTTCTGAGCGCCAACAACTACTACGTGAGTTTACGCGTCGATAATATAAAATAATATCCTGATCCATTCCGGTGGTTCGCCATCATGGCCGCCGCCGATGTTCGCGACATGCTGGATCTGCCCGCAGAGGGGCAACAGCAACCCCGGCCTCACAAGAAGCAGAAGGTCGTGGAAAAGAGACCAGGTTCGCTTACCTTACTGACGGGCAAAATAATCCATGCTGATTGGTATATCAGAGGGTATCACTCGTGAACTGTACGCGCTTCTCGGCGAACGAGCACCTCCGATCGCAATCAACGAAAACCGATACAAAGGGCGACCAAAATGGATGAGCAAGTTGAGAGTTCGACCATGGTGTGTATACGGGAATCCGGTTGTATTGTTTCATGTTGGAGTGCTGGCTGACATCTCGTCAGGAGCATGGCACCTTTTACGAACGGCGCACGATCCGACGAACTCGTTCTGCGTCACTGGCAACGGCAACATGACCCGACAAACGCACCAGCATTAGAGGGCCCAGAGGCAGAGAAGCCAGAGGAGAAGAAAGAGCCGGAAGAAGAGGAAGGGGTACCGAAACCACGAGAACAGGAATACCCATTCGTGAAATACAACGTCAAAGCCCGGGTTCCGAAGCGATATAACGACGACGAATACAACAGACATCTGAAAAATGACGACTGGCCACGACAAGAAACAGACTACCTGATGGATTTGGCCGAGGAGTACGATCTACGCTGGGTTGTTATCGCCGACCGCTACGATTTCCAACCCCAACCTATAGACGTAGAAGCAAATTCCAATGCCCTAGTCCCAGCCAAACGGTATCGAACGATGGAACAGATGAAGGCGCGATACTACTACATCGCCGCGACGATGCTCGCCTTTGAACATCCCCCCTCCGAAATGTCCGGAACCGAGTTCGAACTTCACGAAAAGATGCTGAAATTCGACCCCGACCGGGAACGCGTCCGCAAAGAACTCGCAGCCTTACAACTAAACCGCACGGCAGACGAAGTCCGCGAAGAAGGAATCCTCCTGGAAGAACTAAAGCGCATTACCGCCAACGAACAAAACTTCATCGCCGAACGCAGAGAACTCTACTCCAGACTCGAAGTCCCCATCAGCGTCGGCAACACCGCCATGTACCAATCCAGCCAGGGCCTCTCCCAACTCCTCTCCACACTCCTCCAAGCAGACAAGAGCAAGAAGCGACGGTCCATCCTGGGCCCCGAAGGCGCTGCCGCCCCCTCCCCAGCAGGCCAAACACCCACAACCTCCGGCCCAGCCAGCGCCCGCGACAGCCGCGCAGAAACACCTGGTCAAGCACCAGCACCGGCAACCAAGAAGGCCGCCGCTGCTGCAGCAGCCGCAGCAAACAAGGAACCCCAGCAACAACCCCTCAAGACCCTCACAGCAGCCGAAGAATCCAGATACGGCGTCCAGCACCACGAACGCCTCACACCAAGCGTGCAATTCCGCAGCGACCGTCCTCAGAAACTCACCCATGCCAAATCCAACGTGCAGAGCCAGAAACTCGCCGCCGCGCTCGCGGAACTCGAAGTCCCGCCTCGTCTCGTTATGCCCACCGAGCGCTTATGCAAAGAATTTGAAAGACTCATCGTCTCTGTCAACGCACTCCTCGATGCGCGGAAGATGGGCGAAAAGGTCGAGAGCGAGATCCGTGTCCTTGAAGCTGCGAAGGAAGAGCGTGAACGTAAGGAGCAGGAAGCCAACGAGAAGGAGAATCCGCAGGTTAAGACTGAGTCTGATCATAATGATACTTCGCTTGCTTCTGCTGCGCCGGCGGAGTCGACTGATGGTGCCAATGATGGCAAGGATCTGGCAGCGGCTGCTCCTTCGGTAGAAGGTCCCGAGGCTGGCGATGGTATGGCAGGTGACGCATCGCATAAGCGTTCTGCGAGCGTCTTGAGTAACGGAAGTGACAAGAGCACTAAACGGCAAAAGAAATGAGGGGTCATCGTTATCTTTGAGAGTGGCGTTGGTTTTTGGTTCGGAGCCTGAAGCGCTGGCGTTTATTTCTATTCATTTCTGTATGATCATATGAATATCTTGTTCATGGGAATTCGTATAGTGCTATAATACAAACAACGTAGGTCATACATTCAACTTTTACCGTCATCTTGTCCTTGCCCTAATATACAGAATAACAAATACCATCATAGTGCTGCGAAGTTGCCTGACCAATTTGCCTTCCGTCAACGCCCAAGCCTCACTCAGGATTCGAATGCATTTCCAGAGATTCGTGGTCGTCGTCAACGCCATCTGGACCCAATCGTTCCGATCGTTTGTGACGGTATCGACCTGCTCCTGGATCTACTAAACGGCCGTGGACACCTGAAGTTTCCGAGTTGCGCCTCCAAAGCGAACGCTTGACGGGGAAGACGGAGGGAAACTCTGCGCTGCTGCTGATGTTGCGCTTTTTGCTGCGATTGAGAACCCTGAACCTAACGCTCGGTCGTTTCTTCGGGAGACTGCCGAATTGGCTCAGATTCGACGGCGTCTGTATGACTGATTCATTACCGTCGTCGGTGGCACTGTATTGGTTCGTATTTGGACCTGGTGGGAAGCGCATTCTCGAACCCCTATCGAAAAGCTCGCTGTATCTGTTCCTGAACCTAGAAGAGCTCTTCGGGCCTTCTTCCATCTCTGGAGCTTGGCCTTGATCGGACCCAGATCCATTGATCTTTTCATTAGCCTTTTCGCCTGTTTCATCTTGACTCATTCGTCGGCTCGTGAGCCACTCCCAAAAGGAAGAAGCCGTGGAGCCCCGGTTTGTCGACTCACTGGAATCTGTTGTTGTCACAAGTGCAGTTGCCCCAGACCAACGCCGGGGTGTCTGGGGATTCATGGAGCCTGGTAAGTCGCAGTTCGAGATTGATGGCTCGCCAAGTGCCGATGACACCTTGTTGGCTTGCCCATCGGGGTCCTGGTCTTGGTTCTCAGCATTCTCTCCCTTTGTCTCTCCGTTTACCATGCTATTGTTTTCGCTATCTTCAGGAGAGCTTGAATCGGCCGGGGACTTTTGACTCTCAACCTCATCTTCTGCCACTAACGAATATCCGTACCCAAGTCGTCGGCCCCCAGACATCCAGCCCACACTTATTTTGCGAGGCGGTAGGACTTCGTTGGAAACAGACCGGGGCGATCCTACCGGCGGACTTATCCCAAACTGCTCCACGAACTTGCTTGCTAATGCATCAGTCTGAGCACCGGTTTCGCTGGCCGCAGCATTAGAACCAATCACTACGCTCATGTCTGTGTATGGTTGTGCTGCAGGTGCGTACTCATATCCGCTACCTGAAGGCCCTCTTTCAGACCCAAGACTGCTAGCGTTCGCTGTCAGACTCGGATATCGATAGCCTGCGGGAATCCCGGCAGATGAAATACTAGACTTGGGCGAATAAAACGAAGACGCATCTCTCTTGTGGGGTAGTCCGAAGTCGAATCCATTCAATCCATTTTGACCCAGAGATGGTGTGTTTGCACTTCGCTGGCCGATACAATCATGATATTGATCCGACAGGCTTCGTATGCTATACCTATTATTTTGTCCATTCTCATCGACAGACGGATTCTGGGATAGAATGCGAGGGGATGCTGAAGTGGACGCCAGGGCCTTAGAGATGTTCATGTCACCCAAGTGAATCGAGCGGACTTCTGCGGATGATCCTCGACGCTGTCGTCTTTTCGCGATGGCAATCTCCGAATTTCTCGCAGCTAATGACTCCGACGATTTTGCATAGGATGCCTGTGCGGCTTGGAGACCTTGTTGAGCCACGGTGGCGTAGAATCGACCACGGCCACCATTGATGGACGCCAGAGGTGATGGCACCTCATGATCAGTTGCTGCAGACTTTACTGATTGCTCAGATATGGAAAGGGGTCTGGGTGTATCTGCCTCTTTGTCGTGGATGGAGAGGTTGGTCACATTTGCAAGAGGACTAGAGACTCGGTGTGCCGCATCCTTTACGATGTCTGGTGAACAGCGGGGTGGCTGCGGACTGTGACGCACATAAGCCGGACGAGCCAGTGCCGAACGTGTATCGCTTATCTCGCGTCGCTCATCTTCTGGTCTCAGCTCCTGGGGCGGACCGCTTGTGTAACCCGTTCCCGCATCCTGATAGGGCTTCTCCAGTGACGACATAGCTCGCTCGAGACTCGCTGCAGTAGGGGAGCGATCCGTGATAGGACCGGTATTCGCGGGGGTCGATATGCCTTGTGCATCGCTATCGTATCCTTTCTCGCTCATCAAACTGCTTCCAACGTCATCAGCAGCAACCGGATCTGCAAGGGCGTCCAAGTTCCGGGATAGCGAAAGAAGCGATATTTCTGTCGATCTACCGGCTCGCTTTGGAATAAGATGCAATGGCTTGGAGTCTCGAGAGGATAGTCGTCTGCGGATTCTGCCTGACCAGCCATTTGAGGAGTGCGACGAGTGCTCATTCTGAACAGGAGGTTGTGGATCTTCGGTTGAGGAGGGTCCTATCAAGGTGTCAGAAGCTAGGATGGTTAAAGACGCAATCCGATGGTGTCATACCCTCTTGGTAGTCATGTCGCAGGGGAGAAGGCTCTGCTGGCGTGAAAGAGGAAGACGGCGAACACTCGGAGGGAGGAGTGAATCTCCGAAGCTTTCGAAACCGGCCACACAGGAGGAAGCCCATTGTGAGTGTAGCGGCTGATATGGTGAAGTGATGGCATTGGTAGAAAGCGAGGGATTGTCATGATGGGCAGAGCAAGAGATGACTGTCTTAAGATGTCCATTTTGGGAAGGAAGAGGGTGTGTATACTGATACGGAAACTACGCTGGATGAAGTACAAGTACGGTCGATTCTGGCCGTTTCCAGCCTATTGCTTTGCTGATAATCTATACAAAGTCTATACAAAGCAAGCTTCCAGTTCTTGTCCTTTTCTCTCCATTTGTCTGTACTCCGAATTCCACATCCAGTACTCCATAGTTTTGTACACTCCGTACTTAATACGGACCGGCCAAATCACATGACTGAGAACGGGCCAATCGCCGATCACGGAGGGGTAATAAATGCCTCAGGCATAAAAACACGCAAATCACGCCATTTCTGGTGTCAGGACCGCTGTTAATACCACGAATTACGAAAATTACACGTCAGACACAGCCTATCCCCATGGAGATATTGGTAATACAGGTACAGCCCCTCCCGCTGCATGTTTTTCCCTCCCGCTTCCCCTCCTTGACCGGCGCTTATTTTTGCATTTATTCTCTCGCTCCTCTTCTTTCTTTCTCTCTCTCTCTCTCCTTTTTCTTCCCATCCCATCTTCCCTCTCATCCTCATATTTTTTTTTGTCTTGTTAGGAAGAGGCGGCTGAATCCAGCATCCTCTTTTTGTTTGTGTGACGGCTACTATCTTCCGTCCTTTGACCACATATTCTCTCCGTCTCCCCTTTTTTTCTCCTCCAAAATCAGTCAGAATGGTTCAATCGTACGTCCAATTCCTTTCCCTGATGATCAATGGCTTTTCAAGAGACTGACTGGTTGTGTCTTTACAGCGCTGTTCTCGGTTTCCCCCGTATGGGAAGACTCCGTGACCTCAAGAAGGCCACCGAGGCTTACTGGGGTGACAAGATCTCTCGCGATGAGCTTTTGGCCGAGGGAAAGAGACTCCGTCAGGAGCACTGGAAGATCCAGAAGAACGCTGGTGTCGATGTGATCCCCAGCAACGACTTCGCTTTCTACGACCAGGTCCTCGACCACATCCAGCTCTTCGGTGTTATCCCCGAAAGGTATAGCAAGTATAACCTTCACCCCGTTGACGAGTACTTCGCCATGGGTCGTGGTCTCCAGAAGCCCGCCAAGGATGGCCAGGACGCCATTGATGTTCCTAGCTTGGTACGATTTCTTCCTTGAGATTCTCATACTAGATCGTTGTGCTAATACAGTCTCTAGGAAATGGTCAAGTGGTTTGACTCCAACTACCATTACGTCAAGCCTACCCTCCAGGACACCCAGGAGTACAAGCTCGCTGAGAACCCCAAGCCTGTTGTTGAGTTCCTCGAGGCCAAGGAGGCTGGCATCACCACCCGTCCCGTCATCCTGGGACCTGTTTCTTTCCTGACCCTCGCCAAGGCCGACCGTGGCCAGACAGTTGACCCCATCTCCCACCTCGAGAAGCTCCTCCCCTTGTACGTTGAGCTCCTCGCCAAGCTCAAGGAGGCTGGTGTCGAGGATGTCCAGATTGATGAGCCTGTCCTCGTCTTCGACCTTCCTGCCAAGTCCAAGGTTGCCTTCAAGCCCGCTTACGAGAAGCTCGGTGCTCTCGGTGACAAGGCTCCCCGTGTGACCTTGGCCACCTACTTCGGTGACATCGTCCACAACATTGACGTCCTCTCTTCTCTCCAGAGCCTCCACGCCATCCACGTTGACCTTGTCCGTAACCCTGAGCAATTTGAGACTGTCGTCGCCGCCCTTGGCCCCAACCAGACCCTCTCTGCTGGTGTCGTTGACGGCCGTAACATCTGGAAGACCAACTTCAAGGCTGCCATCGAGAAGGTCGAGCTGGCCGTCCAGAAGCTTGGCAAGGACCGTGTCGTCGTTGCCACTTCCAGCTCTCTGCTCCACGTCCCTCACACTCTGGCTAGTGAGAAGACTCTCGACCCTGAGGTCCGTGAGTGGTTCAGCTTTGCTGTCGAGAAGACCAGCGAAGTTGTCGTGATCGCCAAGGCTGTCACCGAGGGCCCTGCTGCCGTCCGTGAGGAGCTCGAGGCCAACGCCAAGTCCGTCCAGTCTCGTGCCTCGTCTACCCGCACCAACGACCCCAAGGTCAAGGAGAGACAGGCTGCTGTCACTGACGAGCAGCACAACCGCAAGTCTCCCTTCCCCGCCCGTCACGCTGAGCAGGGCAAGACGATCAACCTGCCTCTGTTCCCCACCACCACCATCGGATCTTTCCCTCAGACCAAGGAGATCCGTATCCAGCGTAACAAGTTCACCAAGGGTGAGATCACCCCCGAGCAGTACGAGGCCTTCATCGAGAAGGAGATCCAGGAGGTCATCAAGATCCAGGAGGAGCTCGACCTGGACGTCTTCGTCCACGGTGAGCCCGAGCGTAACGACATGGTCCAGTACTTTGGTGAGCGTCTTACTGGCTACGTCTTCACCACCCACGCCTGGGTTCAGTCTTACGGATCTCGTTGCGTGCGTCCGCCGATCATCGTCGGTGACGTTTCTCGCCCCGCCCCTATGACCGTCAAGGAGTCCAAGTACGCCGCTTCGATCTCCAAGAAGCCCATGAAGGGTATGCTTACTGGTCCGATCACCTGCTTGCGGTGGTCTTTCCCTCGTGACGACGTCCACCAGTCCGTCCAGGCTCAGCAGCTGGCTCTCGCCCTCCGTGACGAGGTCGTTGACCTTGAGGCTGCTGGTATCCAGGTCATCCAGGTCGACGAGCCCGCTCTCCGTGAGGGTCTTCCTCTCCGTGCCGGCGAGGAGCGTAAGAAGTACCTCTCGTGGGCCGTCCAGGCATTCCGTCTGGCCACCGCTGGTGTCTCTGACGGCACTCAGATCCACTCTCACTTCTGTTACTCCGAGTTCCAGGACTTCTTCCACGCCATTGCTGCGCTGGACGCCGATGTCCTCTCCATCGAGAACAGCAAGTCTGACGCCAAGCTCCTCAAGGTCTTCATCGATGAGGCCTACCCCCGTCACATCGGACCTGGTGTCTACGACATCCACTCGCCTCGTGTCCCCAGCGAGCAGGAGATCAAGGACCGCATCGAGGAGATGCTCTCGTACCTCCGTGTTGACCAGCTCTGGGTTAACCCTGACTGTGGTCTGAAGACCCGCCAGTGGGCCGAGACCAAGGCTGCTCTGACCAACATGGTCAACGCCGCCAAGGCCTACCGCCAGAAGCACAGCAACTAAATTAATTCTAACCTGACATAATAGAGATAAAGGGATGATGGTTTCTTTTTAATGGGGCAGACATTCTCAACCTGTCGCCTCTGGAGATGTGATGTGTTTAATGAGTTACGACGATGATACCAAAAGTTCAACATATGGGGTACGGGTTTTGCACTAGAGGATAAAAAATCTGGGGGTCCACGGAGTTCAACAGTTTTGACGATTTCAACATCGGCGTTTACGCCACCAAGCATCCACTTGTCTTTTAGCGGTCAAAAGGTGTGGGTTTGTTTGTTTTATTTCATTTGTATTTGGAAAGGGAAGCATGTGTGTGGTGCGTAGTCACCGATGTTTCATATTATTTCAACAATGTGTTTTAAATAACATCCGAGGCATTGCCTCTTAATGCAATGTATCATTCTGATTGTTCTTGTAAACATTTTTTTTTTACATCTTAGTGTACATGTTTCGATGCTACAACCACGGACACCATGGAACGGCAACACCTCTGCTCCCAACAGCCTCCTCCCCAAACTTCTCAACATACCACTTCCGTCCCCAACGCGCATGAGGCAGCATATTCGCCACGGCGTTCACAGCAAAAACCAGCGCAGGCAGAGGCAACGGCACCCTCAACTTCTCCGAAACAACCGCCGCCGGAACCAACCACGGAGCCAACCTGATCCTCGGAACCGTCGCAGCCGCAGTCGCCGTCGCAGCAATCGGATTCACACTACTACTTCCAGCGGGGAATATGGCCGTCCCGGCGAGAGCGAAACCGAACCACTCGATCCATTCGAAGACGTAGTGCGGGTAAAGAATGGAGTGGAAGACACCTTGCTTGGGAGGGATGACGTAGACTTTGTGGTATTTGTCGTTGGTGTCGTTGTTGTCAGTCTTCTTCGCAGCGCGCTTATCACCCTCCTCACGACGAAGCCGGAACAACGCCCTCTCAGAGTAAACATTCCCAACCATCCCGACAACAAACAACCCCAGCCCAACACACGGTATCAATCCAAACCCAGTTCCCCCATTCACACCCCCATTCCCCTCAACAGCACCCGAAAACCCCCCAACATCAAGCCCATACCCCAGCACCCACCCCGCCAAACAACTCGAATTCACCCAATTAAACCCCATCGCCGACACCATCACAAACACATGAATCGGCGACATACTCGGCGCCACGAACCACGGCGAAATCACCGCGCGGTTCACATAATGCACCACATACAACAGTCCAACTAACTGGTTTTGCCAGGGTAGTAGACTGAAGTCACCGGAGAGTGAAGTGTGCAGGATATAGAGGAGGTTTAGGGGGGCGATGATTTCCATGACACACCAAGCGAGGCGGCCGGGGAGGTTTAGGGGGGATGTGCGGAGGGAGGTTTTGCCGGCGGGGTGGTAGGAGAGGAGCCATTGGGCTATTGTCACCTGGTTTTTTTTTTTTTTTTGGTTAGGTTGGAGGTTTGTTTTTGGTTGGTTTTGTTTGGGTTGGTTTTGTGGAAATAGCCTGGGGAAGGGAAGACATACGACTGGGAAGTATTGGAAGATGTTGACTAGTATCGCGTAGGTCTTGGGAGTGAGCGTGATGAACTCTCGGAGGGAGGGGAGAGAGCTCATGGATGAGGAGATCATGGACCCCATGATTGCGACGGATTTGTAGAGTAGCAGGGATCAAGGTGGATGTAGTAGTGTAGAGAGATGGATTGAGAGAAGAGGAGAAAGAGAGTTTATAAGAGTTGTGGCCACAGGTATTGAAGGCAACGAAGTGACAGTGACTAAACGAAATGCCCGCTTGCTTTTTAGTCAGTGAATTGTGTTGCGCAACATATTCACTGCGGTCCCATAACTGTTTGGTTCGAGGTAATTGTCTTGAGCTAAGGTGAGCCGAGCTACTTTGTATGAATGATATCATGGATCACATGACTTATGTACTGCATACAGAAACGCATTGTCTGTAATAATGCTGTTCATAGTAGTCATATACATAGCATCCAGCAAATGCCTGCTTAAATTAAAGATTCAACTCATAAAATGGCACCATTACTCTGTCGTGTCCATCTGCTCCGCTGTACTCTGCTCCCTAGCCTGTCTTCGTTCCGACAACCGCTCTGTCTTGAATGCCGTGATCTTGGCCTTGAGGTCGGTGTCTACAATTCAGTTAGTTATCGTTCGCCAAGTAATCTGCCACATAAAAAGGAAAGCTCACCTGGAATGACATCCTCCATCTTAAGCGGCACCCGGTTAAACGGGTCGTGCGGGTCACTCAGGAGGTGAGATCGGATCGTAGATCGATCAATAGACATTCTCGACGCAGGAAGAATAACCGGGTCTTCCATCAACGTGTACATCAGCGGGTCCAAGAAATCATCAGGAACCTCTCCAAGGTCCTCTTCTTCCTGCTCGTCCATCTCCTTGGCCCCCTTGACCTTTCGCTGGAGCTGCTCCCATTTCTTCAGCTCCTCTGGAGACTTGAGCGACCATTTCCGCAGGATATCAGCGGCCTTTTCGAAGTTGACTGGTTTGTAGGAGCGACCGTCACGTGCAACGGCGAAGATAAAGCTTTCCCTGTTCATTAAGTTGATGTACACGTCCACGAGCTCACTTAGCAGAGCACGCGGGTTGAATCCATATTCTTGCAGATTGTCCACGCGCAGGTTCAGACTCTTAGGGCCCACCATGGCATCCAGGTTGTAGTCCAACATGTCTGCCAACCGCTGCACAATTTCTGGCATTGTGAACGACTCTGCCAGTGCGTGGGTGAAGAGCTTGAGCATGCCGACTGTCTCATTGGTCAGTTGCATGTAGGACTTGGCAGTGCGCTGAGCAGATGCGAGATGCTCTTCCTTCTGCTGTCGCGCGGTGGGATCCATTGTGTTCCCGCTGCGCTTAAGCTCAGTTTGGGTGTCGTGAATGGTTATAAAAGCGCCAAACGATTCGTCAAGAACGAATGTCACATCGTTAAGGAGGAGGTTGACATATCGGACGAAAAAGTCGTGGTTCTGGTTGGCCTGGTTCAAGAGCTTTGTCTGGTATAGCGTGTTGGGCCAGATGCATTTGATGATCTGGAAAATTTCATATCGGATATTGAATTTGTCGTAGAACTGGGTGTGTGTTCCTGTATGTTCAGCCTCAATGTAGAATTTCATGAGGGAATGCAGGATATAGTCGTTGGCAAACGGCATGGAGTTAAGAAGGTCAACCAAAACACCACGACCGCCACCAGGGCGTGGCCACGTTCCGCGGAAAAGGATAGACACCAGACCGGCCTTCAAGTAAGGGTTCTTGATGTACCCCGTGCTCTCCAAGAAAGTGATACAGAGCATGACCACTTCATCTCCTTGCGTAGCGGTGATGATCTGCGGCATGCACCACATAATGAACTTGAAGTTGCTGACAATGTCGTCCAGGAAGTATTCAGGCAAACACTTGAAGACCTCGGGCTGTTGTTCCGGAAGAGGCAGCTTGAGGGTTTCCCGGGGGAAGTCCACACCGGAAACAAGTCGCAGCAGCCAAACGATGACATACCGCATGAACAACATGGAACGGGCCTGCCATTGATCGTCAAACAACACACCCTGAAGACTGTATTTCAACGCGAGTCCAAGATCCAACTTGTCCTTATATTTCTTCAACGCCTGTTCAAAGACTCGAAGTTGCATGGGGTTGCTGATCCACCGGTGTCGCTCCGTCTCGAACCGGCCGATTGTGGTCTCCATATGCCGGAGGTCCTTCTCTAATTGGTCCAGTTTCGAGGTCAGAGACTCACTACCGTAGTGGTGGGCAGCAACAGTAAGGAAGAAAATCTCCGTAATGAAATTGGAAGTCCCCTCTGCCTTTTTCGAGTAAAAGGCTTCCGAAGCGTGCTGGTCGGCGTTGATCTTGGTTTCATCCTTCATATCGACACGGGAATTCCGGTGGAGATATGCTGCATCAATTCGATCGATCTGATAACTTGTCAGTAAACTTGGCTTGGGAGTTACGCTGCCCTTCTTCCACATACCTTGGTGAAAGATGCATCCATAAACGGTTCGCAAAGCTGATCCAAGCACGTCGTAAGGTTGAACATGAATCCATCCGATGAGACCGCGTTGGGGTCAACCTGCATTGCTCTCCGCTTATGATTGATGTTCATTGCGGTGGCGAACCAATCCAAGACTCGTTCCCGGGAATCCTTCGACGCACGAATCAAGTGGTTGATGATGTCGAGAAGGTCGGCACTGAGCATTTGCTGCATCATGCGAAGGGACCGCTGGGAGTTCAAGATATACGACTGATCCCTGGTCTTAGGGCTAGAGAAATACTGCATGGTAACGTTGGGTTGAAGCGGCGACAGTCGAAACCATGGTCCCAAAAGCGTGCGTTTCTCAAACGACGGAGGGTCGCGAGTCGCATTGAAGAGCGAAGACTCCGTGATGGCAGATGCAATGGCTGAATGACGGATGAGGTTTTGCAGAGCCTGACAAACGTATGTTAATCAATAGGGCATCTTTGCGATTAAAGAGGCACGAATCTCTTTGACATACCATCATGTAGGGTTTGTACTCATCGTTGATGTTCAACTCAGCCAGTTCTTGACTTAACCCCTCAACAGCGGCGATGAAAGCAGGCTTGATATTCTCATCCTCGTCGAACCTTTTAACGGCCTCGCTGATGAAATCGAGATCAATACCCTTCTCCTCCTCTGGGTCCAAGAGCAAGAACGGTTTCAGCGGAGATCCGTCAGACTCGGCCCTACCAATTATCAACAGCGTCAGTACTCTGTCAATCTATCAAGTAAGATGGAAGAAAACGCACCCAAACATCTCCGGCATCGTAATGGCAAACATGCAATAACTTATGCACAGCCGCCGGGCCTCACAAATGGCATTGAACTTGGCATCATCATCCCGCGGCCGACGGAAGCCCTTATGCAGCCTGCAAATTCTCTTCCAGCACGGCAACAAGTAATCCAACGGTCTCTTGACATTCGACGCGGCCTCCAACAGCGCCTGGTCTAAGACAGCCGAATCGATGCGGAGTTCCCGACCCTGCTCTTCCAACTCACCTCGCAGTCCAGGCAGGTAATATAGCCTCTGCGCATGAATATCCTTCTGCCGGTCCTCTCTGAGCGAGAGCTTAAACACAGCACTCAATGTCCGATCTTCAAAGGCCTCGATGCCTTCTTCGGCCCTCGGTTGCGGAGGCGGCGTGTTCGAAATGGGAGTAACGCTTTGCGACTGGGCTGCGGATGACGAAGCTGTTGGTGTGATCTTTATCCGTTTCCCCTCTGACGGTTGCCGCTGCTGTTCTGGTCGCGGTGATGGTGCGTGGGAACTGGGTGTGCTTGTCGTGCCGGTCTGTGGCTGCGAAGGCGCCGGGAACTGGGGAGTCGAGCTGCTGGGTTGTGTAGGGGTCGTAGGTACGCTGGAATCCGAGCCTTCTCCGCCTGGAGAGGAAGGGGTTGGGTTTCCAAGTTTTGCAAGGCGCTTGTTACGGATCTAGATAAGCAAAGTCAGCGCGGTGTTCTATCAACTGATGCCCGCAGCAACTGACCTTGTCCGCATCCGACAGGTTATCCGACATCTTCTTAGACGAATACCGTTCTGGATATACAGAATTTGTGACAAAATAAGAGTTTCTACCCGCGGAACAGGCGATGTGGGGAAAAAGTTCAGTCTCGTCTGGACACCTAGGTACGGGAATAAAGAGAGATTTCAGTGGTGGAATCCAGAAATACAAAGCAAAGAGCAACGCCAGACAGTCCAGCTGGTGATAGACAATGTCTCTTTCGCTCTTTCTGTCTGGCAGTTGTTCTTGTTGGCGACAATTCGGTCATCGTCGTTGAGATTCGCCTGCATGCAAATTACATAAGCAGCTCGCCGCCGCAGTATTTCTCCGCCCCGATATAGTACAAGCACATCATATGGAATCCCATATCAATTCAATGCAGAGGCATATTAGTTCATTGCTAATAGAATATAGGAAGGATGCTCATGAAAGTTCAATAATCACACATAATCCCATAGACGCCGGCCAAACATCACGCGCTATTGACATATAAGGAGCATGAGAGCCAAAAGGAACAGCCGAGACAAAATTAATTATAGGAATGAGCCATCTCTGTATGCAGGCAAGCAGAATATATGCTAACTTCCTTAATACTTCTTCTTCAAAGAATCCAGCCGTTGGCAGCTCTTCAACTCCAGAGATCGCGCCGCCCTCATCTTCTCGACATCTGGGAAGAACCATCCCTGGGCATCCTGGATCATGCGCTCACGCACATTGACTTCGTTTTGGCATTCGTAGCGCAGTTTGGTGACATATTCTACTTCCACACGTTGATCTAACTGTCGGAACTTCCGCGCGTTGTAGTCATTCACATCGCCCGGGTTAACAAAGTAGTCGATATTAAGTTTCGGGGTCATTCGGTGCATGGTGTGAGGAGGTACGGCGGTGTCAAAGCGATACGACGGACCAGATGGGGTTGACGAGGAAGAGGAGAAGAGCGATGAGAGGAGAGGAAGTACGAAGAGAAGGATGAGAGGTAAAAGCTGCTGGAACATCGCCCAGGCCGAAGGAACCGCCTCCGGTTCGGTGGCTTCGCGTGGCCTTCTCCGTGGCCGTGGGCCACCGAATTGGTGGACGCGGACTCCAGGACCTCCTCCCATGTTGAAGACAAACTGCGGACCACCTGTAGTTACAGATATTAGCAAATTGATTCCAGCCTCGTGAGTACGTTGGATGAAATGGTTTCAATCTTCCGTGCCAAACGGACTGAACTCACCTCCCATTCCACCAAACCCGCCGCCGAAGAAGCGGTTGAATAGCTCCTCTGGTGAGATCTCCTCCTCGAACATCGGACCACGAGACCGTGGGAAGCCACCTCCAAAGCCACCGAATCCACCGCCGCTGAAAGGCGACTCGCCAGCTGATGCTCCAGCAGCGCCAGGGTTGAACCTGCTGTCGGGGTCTCCTCCAAACTTATCGTACCGGGACTTCTTGTCCGAATCGGATAGAACCTGGAAAGCACGCGACACCACTATCATCGAAGCCCATTAGTTTCTTTCGAAGAAACCTGGAAGAATAAATCGAAGAACCCACGTTTGAACGCCTCGTCTGCGCCCTCATACCCATTCTTATCCGGATGTGTCAACAGACTCTGTTTCCGATATGCCTTCTTGATCTCGCCATCTGTAGCAGTCTTTTCCAGCGATAAGATCTCGTAATAAGCGGTTGAAGTGCATTTCCGTATCCGAATCACGGCTGCTTCCTGTTCTGGCGTGTATTTGCGATCTTGATTGCCCTGGTTGTGTTGCCGAGATTTAGCATTCCCGCTGTCGAAACCCGATGTCGATGCGGACATGGTTGCTTTCGCTGGGTGTTTTTCGTCTTATTTTGTCGGAATCTAGGATGATAAGGTTCGTTCTGGATGTCGGCGCAGGTGTCGTGAGGGAACTCAATCCCGCGACGGAGAGGCGAGACGGGACCGATCGATTAAACAGAACGCTTGGACAATGCGAAAGTAGATTATGTCGCCTGGCGATAAAACTGTGATGTTGTCGGAATGGCACAATTAAGGAAAAGTAATGGATATTTATGCCTGGCGACGAAATGCCATCCGGTCAACAATCAATCAATAGACGTGGTGTCTTTTTCCGGAGAGGTTCTGGTCGCTTGCGCTAATTTATGGATTCGTTAGTCAGACTTCACCAACTGCGGAGTAGACAACGCTGAACAGAATTAATACACTACGTCAATTTGCGATTCAGAGGTGAGTATTGATTCTATTACCCTGTATTCTTTGTCTTCTTTTCATCTGACATCGCAACAGAAAAGAAACCATGACTGACACAAACACCCCGGCCGAAGGGACCAAGCAGTCTCTCATACAGATTGCCAGAGCATGGGGAGGTACATATCATATCCAATTATCTCTACGAAGCTTTCCAATTTTCTCCTTGAGCCGATCTAACGATGCTTTTCAATAATTATAGAGAACCCATTTACTCCCACCCTCCTAGCCACAACCATCGCCGCCCAGCACATGCGTCCCTTCCAAACGTTTCCGATGCTCTTCCCTCCCGTCCTGCTGTTCACGAGCTATGCAAACCTCCAAGGCTTCACGACCGATAGTGCCGGGATTTCAGCAGCGTGGTCGGGTCTCTATCTGTTGCTCGCAGGTCGACGGAAACAGCCATTTATGAAGAAGTGGGGTGCACGAGGGATCGTCCGGGGTGTTACAATGGGTCTTTGCTTTGCGAACTTGGTTGGTGGTGGTTTGGCGTATACTTTGGGCAAGAGGGAGGAGGAAGAAGATGATGAGTAAATGGGGTGTGGGAATTGATAACTTTCTATTATTTGGGCAGGCGTCATCGCTATGGTGTTGGGGTAGACACAAAAGTTCAGTTTCTATGTACGTTGATGTATTTGTACGCTATCATGACTATCGTCAAATCGACCATATTCTCAATTGATTTACTTTCTACATGACATGGTCAGTTGCCCCGTCAACTGCCAGCATACGGCGTCTCCCGTGAAAGAAAGTCTCGAACCCTGGGCGGAACCAAAGTCCCCAGCAGCTCAGGATCCTGCTGAATCGCCTCCCGAGCTTTAGTCGAACTGACTGGGGGATCCTCCGACCTACTACCCTGGACCAACTGAATCCGCTGCGCCCATTCCGGCTTCCCGCCCTCACTTGCCCGACCTCCCTGGGCCAGATTCACAAGGAAGTTCTGCTGCTCTTCCTGGCTACCCCATTCATCATTGGGCCGCATGGTTACTCGAAGTCTGTGCTGGGACAGGAACGGCGCGAGAGGCTGGAGAGTATGCTCTGGCGGATAGTACTTGGGGTTGAAGATGCGAATCAAGGTGTCGTAACCTGTGAGATGGACTTGTTCAAGCGATGCGGGGTAGATATCTGCGTTCTCGATTTCTGCTGCTTTGTCCACGAAGTATGGTTTCCTTGTTACACCAATGTCGATCTGTGGCAACTGTTGCTGTTGCTGCTGAGAGGATTGTAAATGCGACAGGAGATCGTGGGCAAACAGCTCCATCATGAGAAGGCGATCCTCGAACGAGGCAGGTTTGGCCGGCTTATCTGCATTCTGGGTAGCCAGTAAAAGCAGCAATCGGGCTGGAGAATCAGGCTTTTCTCGCAGAGCAGATGCTGCGATTTGGAGGTGGGCGAGTGTGGGAGGGTTGAAGGACGAGTCGAGGACGTAGAGAACGGAGGGAGACTGCGGGCAATCGGCGGGGACGGAGGACAGAATTTCGAGATTCTTAGATGAGGCGAGGAAATTCTTCCAGGATGTGGTATAGTGTGATCGCATGGCCTGTATCGAGGGAGTGGCCATTTTGAGTCTGTTCAATAAAGATGGCTGCGATGTTGAGAATGACGTCGGAGAGGCTTGACGGAGATCCGAGGTTCGGATAAGAGAACTTTAGATCCATGATTAGCAGTCGCGTTGACTCGGTTGGTTTTACAACAAATCATGAGACCTGAGCAAGTGTCTGAGTATTGTTTTAAATTGAGGTCATGACAATTATGTCGATTGGTCCATGGGCCCTCGTGTTGATATATCTTTTGTATGCGTGTACAACGGGAGATCAAGAAGATATATTGGGTGAAAGCGCAACATACATCAACCCGAAGCATAAGAACAGAGGGAATCTTTTCGTCTTCGGAACTTCCAAACCGGAGATAATATCTGATTGTGTTCGTCAAATGTTTTGCTCTTCGCTTGCCTCTTTGCCTTTCATTCTGCTTACCGAGATCTTTACCTGCCAACGCCCAGTCTCTCATGATAGCATGAAAACCGCCCGAACACTCCGCTTTCAGGCCTGGTAAGAATCGGCCAGTACAGCTTGCCTCAAAGTATTTCTTATAGTTTTCTGGTGGATAGCATATGCCACCTGTAATTCTAGGTGCCGTTTAAGAGTCAGGCCCAACCGGTTCTTCGCGGATCGAGACTCAAACGTGTCTTATGATGGCGTTAAGCCGCAGGCATCCCTCTGCTTTATTTACCGGGTCGTTGATCTCTTCGAGCCTGTTCAGCACATGAAAATTACAAAAGACACCAAGAAGGCCACAAATAAACTATGAGCAATTTGTTGTTACTTACACAAAGACCTCGGGGTTATTAGTTTTGAACCTGGCGGTAGGGCAAACATCAAAGCCGCCTTGTCTTTCCTTAGGCCCAGAAGTCATTCAACATCAGGCAGCTTCAGTAAGGAGACCGGAATCCTCGCAAGTTCTAGAGGAGACTCAACCCATGGAGTCCAACTTTCGATGCCCGGTTAATGAGGCCTGGCTTGACTTTCAAGGACTCGGCCCAGCTCGCAATTCATTTCCACCGACACGGCGGTTTTCAGATGCACATTTTGCCTACTGACGGGAGTCGTAACATCTCCGCGCGAGCGAAATTCCTCTCGTCTGTAATCACAAACATTGCGCAGTCATAGTATTTGGCCAGATGAAGGAAATCCAATCCAAAGACGTCCTTGTATCCTCAGCTGGACACAACTTGGAAAGATATGCCGGAATATGCTTCAATTCAAACAAGAACGTATCGTCTTCTTTCTGTTGCTGGGGTTGTGGCTCCAATGCAACTTCCAGTCATCTTTCTGGGTGGAGAAATGGACGTATATGCTAGCTGCGCCGCCACGTATGAGCTACCGGCATGGTACAGATGGATGAGCTCGACTAGGCTCCTGCTGGCCCGAGCATTAGGCTGAGCATCGTAACTGAGCCTTTCTTTATATCCGGTCAAGAGAGAGGAGAAGCTCACTGTGAAATATTAATGTTATCATTTCAGCATCTTCCTGCATTTGCACTTGAGGAAAGTCGCTTTGCTGCCCGGTTTTGTCTTGAGGTATGAGAGATGAGATAGTGAATAACTAATGAGAACTTGATCAATATTCACTAACCAGATAGACCGACGATGATGGATGAAGAAAGATAGAGGGGCTTCTATGCCTTGTATTCAATTATGTCCTGGCTATCCAGATGCAGGGTAATAGGCTGCCGGCCAATCACTCACTACATAGCAGTGAATGATAAACATGCTGTCATGGGTTGCCTTCCTGTTTCTATTTCCTCTTCAACCATCTCAATTTATCGTATTCTTCTCTTACTCGGGTCAATTCTCTTCAGCTCTAGAGTCATCCAGTATGGCTCGAACTCCAAAGACTGCCCGTACATCGACCGGTATCAAGGTGACAAGAATGAGCCGTGTCAAAGAGAACTGGCGCATGATCGTGCCCAGTGCTATGCGCAAAGCAGTGATTCGGCGCCGCCAGGGAGTAACATCGAAACAGTCGCGTACGTTGAATGACAAGGTCTACCACATTACAAATGCTGACCGTGCCTCAAGGCCAACACAGAAAAAAACACTCGTTACTACTCCCTAGACCATTGTCCCGACGTACTATCGGGGAAATTCTTATGGATTGGAAGAAAATGCAGATCGAGAGCTCAGCCGTTGATGCTATACAAGAGGCCACAGAGAAGGTCGTTGTCGATGAATTGCACAGTATGGTTTAGTCCTACCTTTGCTCCCTATGGAAGATCCGACCAGGCTGTTAACCTATAGAAGTGGCGAACCTCGCGGCCAACAGTGCCCAGCGTGCCGCTGTTCAAAAAGAAGACATGGAATTCGTTCGTCAGATGCGACAGATGATACTTGGCTTTAGATTCCCAGGTCAGGAGTGATACGAGCCTTTGTTGCCTTTGTGCTTCTTTGCGCTAGCTTGGAAGAAGAGAAATGATAGCGATGTCGACTTCATTATATGATCTACCTGAACGTAGTTCGCACATACACCGGAGTAATGACAGACGTAACAGACGTTGTGCTGGATCCAAAATAAGAACCGGCATTTGATAGCCGAGTTGACATAGATAAGGTTAGCTGGGCGTTTGAAGGTAAAATCTGACGTTTTGGAATGAGACTATCCTATAATGCTGCATTAGCGAGCATAATGTATGGAAACGCATACCACACGAGATAATTCGTGTATTCTCAGCTAATATGCAATTAATCTATTGTCAAGACTACAAAATATGCTTAAATACACACTTCTGTACTTCAATCTGTATGAAACTGGGGGTAAATTACCCGATTAGGAAACGTCTGTCCCTGCCACTACCTGCTTTTGACCGACAGACAGGCAGACACAAATGCAAACAAAATGCTCAATTTAACATGCGAAATACCAAAGAATTCCAGTGTTTTCTCTTGAATCCAGACCATTGCCGAGAAATGAGTGGGATATCGCATACTCCATACAATAAAAGCACTGGCCAATCAGGAAGCGAGTTTCAGCACCTTGAAACAACCCTCATAACACCATACCAAATGAACCCGTATAGCGGACCTTCTTTATAGACTCGATGTTTCCTCCTCTTCTCCTTCCTCTTTCTCCCTCACCACCGTCGAACTGACCACCGGTCTTTCATTCTCTTTTCTCTTACTTCCTGTCACTCGTTTAACTTGCGAATCGATTTCGCAGTTACTTTCATTCCTTTTCTTGTCTGGAACGAGCTTTGTTTCAAAAGGCATTGACTGCCCCTGTTTCCTTCAATCATGCATTTTGCCAGCACAATTCCTCTCACGCTTCTAGCGACTTTTGCGGCCCTGGGAGAGGCCAACAGCAACGAGGGCCCTAGGGCTTATGAAGAGACTGCTCCGACCTCGTCTGCTATTGCCTCGTCCTCTCAGTCTTTGCCAGTGTATGAGGCCGTTCCGGCTTCGTCTTCGTCTGTTCCTGCGCCTGCGCCTGCGCCTGCATCTCCGTCTGCGTCGTCTGCCGCTGTGTCGTCCTCTTCATCGCAGGCTACCAATCCGTCCTCTCCCGCGGTGTTCATTCCTTTCTCTTCATCTGCTGCCCCGTCATTTGCTGCCGCTCCGTCGTCGTCCGCTCCGTCGTCGTCCGCTGCTTCGTCGTCCGCTGCTTCGTCGTCCGCTGCTTCGTCGTCCGCTGCTTCGTCGTCCCTTTTCTCTTCTGCTGCCCCGGCGTCTGCTGCTCCGTCATCTGCTGCTTTATCATCTGCTGCTTCGTCGTCCGCTGCTTCGTCGTCCCTTTTCTCTTCTGCTGCCCCGGCGTCTGCTGCTCCGTCATCTGCTGCTTTATCATCTGCTGCTTCGTCGTCGTCTGCTTCTTCATCATCGTCTGCTGGTTCGTCGTCGTCTGCTGCCCCGTCGTCATCTCCCGCGGTGTTCATTCCTTTCTCCTCATCTGCTGCCCCATCGTCATCGTCGGCTACCTCGTCTTCTGCAGCTTCATCGTCCGTTGTTTCATCGTCTGTGGCCTCATCCGTGGCTTCTCCATCCTCATCCAAGGCCGTCTCTCCTTCGTCCTCGTCTATCGTGACTCGGCCTATCCCTCTCCGGACAGGTAGCTCTGGGTACATACCAGCTCCTGTCCAGACTGAGACCGATGTCGAAACCAAAACATCGACTCGCGATGTCACTCTCACATACACTCTGGGCACTGGTACCTCTACCTCCCTCGTGACGACCACTGTCCAGAAGACTGTCACTCAAGTCCAACAGGTGGTATGCTTAACAATCTCGGTTTGCAATGGAATGAAAAGTAGCTAACACACTATAGACCGAAACCCCCGTCGAAGAGCAGACCATTACCGTTACTCCTACTCCCAAGGTGGAGGCTGTCACCATCACGCCTACAGCTGAGGGCTCGACGGAGGAACAGACCATCACGGCAACTCCAACCCCGGAAGTAAGCACCATCACGGTCCCTGAAACTGCTCAGGAGGAGGCCAAGGAGGAGCCCACTACCACTATCTCTTCCACTTCTACCACCACCTACACTGTGTGGGTCGTTCCTTCGACCTCTTCTGCCGTTCCTGGAAACGGTCAGGCCGCGGGTGACGAGCAAGCCACTGACAACGACACTACTGGCAATGGTCAAGCTGCCAACAATAACATGGCTGCTGTCACTACCGAAGCTGCAGCTTGCAGTCAGGCTACGGTCACTGTTCATGATACCGTTACTGTTCATGACACCGTCACTGCGCAAAACACTGTCACTACGCAAGACACTGTCACTGTGGTATGTACCAGCGTTCTCTCGGTATAACCTGAGGGCAAAACTAACAATCAATCTAGACTGCTACTCCTACCCCCTCGTCGATTCCCACCCCCGCCGCCTTCTATGAGAACTCATCGTCCTCGTCCCCGGCTTCTTCTCCCACTCCCTCTTCCTCCACCCCTATTCCCCCAGCTGCCACCACTCCGGTGATCATTCCCAGCAGCCGTCAGTACGGCAACGGCACCTGGCCCATGTCTAGCAGCTTTGCGAAGCCCTCCAGCTTCATCACTAGTCGGGCACCTCAATCCAGTGGCTTCCGTCGTTTCTAGATGAACTCTTGCTGGAGTCCGTCTGACAGGTTCTTGATCTTGATCGTGACTGTATTGATGCTGATATGGTACTGAGTACATTTCTTTTCTTGTGTCTTTTTTATTCGTGAATATTTTCTACCTGGTGGATGTCACTCGTTAGGTCTCGACTGGCCTGCCTCCCCGGGTGTTCTCTTATCTATAGGATCTTTGAGACTTTTCTATAAATTCCCTTTTTTTTTTTTTTTTTTTTTTTTTTTTTTTTTTTTTTTTTTTAATGCTCGATCGGATCATGGTTTCAGTATGTCTCATACATAACGTTTATATATAGCAAAATTCAGATCTTCGCCATTGCTTTCACTAACAACTAGCTATTATTAGAGCATCAGAAAACATGTACTCATCATACTGTTATTATTTAAGTAGAACGAGCAAGACTAGATGACGTCGACATTGTAGAAAGGCTAGTCACTGTGGTAGTGCATGTCACTTCTTCACTTGATCTAGGATCTATATTTCTAAACTTATCGTTCCAAAGCCAGGCGCCCCCCATGGCACTTCTATTGTCGAGTTTGATTACTTTCGCCGCATTTTCAGCATGCGCGCTTTTCCTTCCTCGACAACGATCAACTGCACCCGTACCGGCCCACGCGTCAGGATCTGGGTCAGTGATTGACTGCGTATACCGTGTGCCTGAACACCGCTTCTGGACATATTTCACCTCTGGTCCTGGTGCCAGTCTATGGCTACCCTTCCAAGGGCGGTGTCTATATCCTAAACTACTGCTTTGCTGTGGAGCTGGACTTCCTTGGGCTCAGCCGGGTTGAGAACACAAAACGCCCATCGACATCCGATCCCTACAAGCACCACAAAGAGGATGAACACCGTGCTCGCAGTCATTTGCCCTCACATACCTTCATTCTACCATAATTTCTAATCTTTAATCAGTGCGTCGCTTTGGAGCGACCTGATGGGAAAGTGAATCCGAGGGATTTGAGAAGGATTTGGGGGTCCAAAGAATACGGATAGTTACCTTTGCGTGGGCTGGCCAGCAGTGGGTGGTGTCTGGGTTTTACACACAACAAGGGGCAGAGCAAGAGAAATAGGCGGGGCAATTATCCACAATGTTTTTAGCATGGAGGAACGATGCGAAGTGATTAAGAGGTTGGGAGGCTTTTATTATGCTAACCCCAAAGACTGCCCTTATCTTGATCTTCCGTGATTACAATAATGGACATTAATCCAGAGAGACAGTTCTCAATTTCCATCTGCTAAGAGAAAATCAACCCCCTCCCTCAAGATCCTATCCCTCATAACCTGCCACTCTAACCAAGTCATCCCCTGCACAAGACAATCCGCCAAATCATCCAACTTTCCAATATCCTTTCTTTTCTCCTTCCCACGCTTCCTATGCCACTTTGCTAAATAAGCATGTAAAGTCTCATTCAACCCGACATCCTCCCCGACAATAAGATCCGTCGACAAATCCCCGTCCTCGTCAACTTCGTCGGTTATCGGATGCTCAGGATCGAGCCAGTGCCCTGCAAGATCAATCTTAACCTTTTTACCATCCTTGGCAGTCTTCTTCTCCTTCCCCTCGAGGAAGAAGCTCTTGAATCCCATGCGTTCACCCCAGTAGCGCAGCACCCGTGAAGGCTCTATCCCGTTAACAACAGGCCCAGGCCCGAAATCAACGAAATTCCCAGACCCAAAGAACCCACTAAGAGGCGCCGGCTTGTAAGAAGGAAGACCCAGCCGCCGCTGTCTAGCCAACGTATACAAAACAGCATAAAGCACGCCCTCAAACACACCCACGCGCAACGACCACTCCTGCACCGCCGCACCGCTCGCGGAGCGAAACCGCTGGCGCTCGATGAGGATGTGCGTGGGCTGGTACTTTTCCAAGAGCGTGGTGAGGAATGCGTAGGCATTTTGGGCGTAGAAGTCTGGTGTGTAGATTTCGTTCATGGTATGGGCTTCTTTTTGTCGTTCTTTCTCTTCTTTTTTTCTTTCCAGTTTCGGGAGCGATGAGTTTATGGGCTCTGGGGATGTGGATGTGGAGAGTTGGTTGGTGCTGATGTCTATACGGTGCCATGCGTTCAGCGTGACCCCTGGTCTCTTCGCTGGTGTTGAAGTTGAAGAAGATGATGATGATGGGGGAACTGTTAGATGCGCAAAGGCTAAATTCCGAATCCCCATGTCGATGCTCAGCACGCTCAGTCCCTTATCTCCGTCATTTTCACTTTGCTGCTTCTTCCCCGCTTCATGTCTTGATAGTTCTCCCTGTATCCGTTCTAGAACGGTGGCTTTGGGTCCTGCGAATTTGATCCCCGTTGCTTGGGCGATGCTTTTGAGATGTGCGGATTTGAGGGTTGGGAGGGCTTTTTGCCAGAGCTGGGGTTGGTAGAGGGGTCGCGTGAGGTGCATTTTGCACTTGCCCTCTATTTCTGGGGAAATTAATTATGACTGTGGGTATACATAGACATGGGTAGTTTTGGTGAGTAGATGTTAATGTTTTTCGATATGCATGTGTGCATAGTGTTGATTATTAATATGCTTATGCTGTGCATAATTATACGATACCTACGGTTTAGCTGTATACAACGAAGTTAAGAACTATGGCAATCACATGATATCAAGTGAAGTCCAATTTATTGCAGCCCTTATTGACTGTATTCTCTTCTTTTTGACAACCTTTCCATCATTATTATATCATCATCGTCTATCATCTACACCCATCTACAAATAAACTTGACCTACTACATCTTCATCTTTCGCATTTACATGTCAAAGTATGGGCAACACATACCCAACAAAAGAACCCCCACCAACCCCCGACCTCTCCCTCCCCTCCCACTGCCCCGAACTCGGCATCTACAGCAACACAAACTGGGACAACGCCTCCTTCGCCCTCTACACCCTAATCGACCTCCCCCACACTGAACTCCAAACCATAGCCACAACCCTCGAAGAACGCTGGATGCAAGCCTCAGATTACTCAGACACCCATCTCATCCGCATCCCCCAAACCCACAACTTCGCCAACAAAACCCTACAAGACATCCTCTCCGTCCAAATCGCCATGGACAAGGAGATGACGCCTCGCTCAGACGCAGGTGCGGACGGGGATCTGGGCTGGTGGCCTAATGCATTTATCGTTGTTGTGGAGAGGGAGTGGGAGGAGAGGGGGCTGTTGTTTGTGTATGCGGATGATGATGAGGAGGAGGTTGGGAAGAAGAAGAAGAAGGGGATGTTTGCAATGGATAAGTATTTCTTTAAGCCGAAGGATGCATATATGATGCTTTCAAGTTTGGTATTTGGGGATGAGTATCTGGAGAGGAGTAAAGAGCTTTATGAGATTGGGGAGGATGGGTTGACTGGGTTGGAGAGGGAGGGTGTGGATGGGTATTAAACGAAAAGTTGTACAAAACACCGGTGGCGTAGTGGTAGAACACGCTCAAGATATGTTGACCAGAAAGATAAGCGATAATTATCTATTATTTATCCTCCATCCAGATATTTATGTTTGAGAACAGGGTAGGACTGAATATGTTTGTTGGGTATCGAATCACGCCCTCAAAAGGCTTACAGAGCGTCAAAAATACAAGGTAAACTATCAGTCGATAATGATTAAATGCATTATTCCTATGGTATAAACCTGTCTATCACCAATACCAACAACGCCAAATTAAACAAACGCCAACCCAACCAACTACCAATGCAAGACGCTAAACTGTACAACACTCACAAAGAATAATATAAAACACAATAAAAAACCAAAGAAAAAATCTAGGTCATAGTACAATCGCTAATCCGCGCGTACTGCAAATTCAGAATATCCTCCGGCGAAAGGCTCTCCCTCACATACAGCAGCGGCGCCCAAACTCGCCAATGCAATACTCCCATATGTGCCAGTCGCATTGCAATTCGTTCAATATCGTACTGTTGCTGTGACATGGTCGTCGTGGGAAAGACGAAGCAGGGACTGCGCTGCGATTCGCAGATCCCCAGCGGTGACAGGGCGAGGTACTTCTTGGCCAAGGTACCGGTGGCTGTCAGGAGTTTCTCACGCATCGCGCTTTGGAAGTACCGGAAAAGGTCTGATTCGTTGGAGAGATGCCATTCCAGGGCTGCTTCGATGGGAGCTAGAATATCGTCGGAAATGCCACTTGCATCGCCGCAGCAGGCTGCGTTGGCGAATCGGGCCATTTCCAATGCGATTGAGCGGACGACCTTTAGCCATCGGGGCGAGGTTCCACGTGCCCAGTCTTCGTGGTTGTTGTTTTCCTCCATTAGGGATCCTATCCGTGTCCGGAAGGTGGCGTAAGTTTCTGCTGGGGCGGAGAGATAGCGCTTTTGCGCGTGGATGTACGATTCGAAAATGTACCAGCTGATGTCAAGGGTGATTAGGTTCTGCAGACCTACTCGCAGTTGCCACAGCCGGTCTGAGTCGAAGAGGAAGGTTTCGGGAAATTCGGTCGGTTTTTGGAATTGCAGTAGTAAATCAGCCAGGCCGTGGAACATGACCGTGATGGGCCAGTAGCTGTCTCGCGACGTCTGCTTGTCCACCGTCTGCAGGAGGAGGTCTCGATGTCCGTGGTACCACCGTCGCGACGACTCTACTCGGAAATGACCCCTTTGGACCTTGTTCTGGAAGTACTCCTGTAGAAAGGGAACGGTATCTTCGATGAGAAATGCCCGAAAGGCGCGGATTTGGTGGTTTGCGACATCCTATTCAGTCAGCACACTTCTTGCAACGTGAGTGAGATTCTCTCCTACCAGCTTCATGGCCTCTAGAATGGCAAACAGAGTCTGAAGACCAGTGATAATCCCTCTCGAATCCTGCGCCTGCAAAGCCGTACCGATTTGCTTCACCATCCGGTCCGCCCACTCATCGCGCATCGGGGCGCAATGTGTCTTGAGTAGCGTCGACAACCAAGTAGCCACCCCAACCATATCGAGAATGCCCTTGCGGATCTGCTGCATGAGTAACGAGACCTCCAGATTCTGCATAACATCCGGGTGATCTCGTTCGGGCACAAGGGTCTTGAGAATATCCTGTAACGTCTCGAACATAACAGGAAGTCTGGGTTCGAATTGCTGTTCCGGCTGTTCACCATCCTTCTCCTCTGTCCCACCGACAGCTGCGTAAAACGAGTAGACAGAGATCTCCGATGCCAATGCGTCCCAATAATCGGCCGCCTCTTTCCGCTTCCGTTTCCCCTTCTCGCCATCCAAATCGGGCTTGAAGTGTAGATCGCGATCGAAATTGGCGTCCATGCGCAGGTTGATGTTGCTCATTATACAGGGCAGGTCCAGCTCGCTAAGCGTCTTCTTCGTCACTGGCGGATATCTCTTTGCTGCAAGCAGTAACCTTTGGTCCCGGGAATTAAGTCCTAGACCTGTCGGGATTCCCATTGCTTTGGACGATGGCGGCGACACTCCAGTCGAGCGCGAAGCTGCAGAGGAAGAAATGCGACGGGGGTTATTGCGATGAGGCAGTTTCGTTGTTGGCTGCGATCTCTGGTTCGTGGCTGTTGCTGGTCCTGGCTTGCTGTGTGTATCGGCGTCACTCTGGGCGAACTCGTTCGAACGACCACTGCTTCCGTATGCTTCCAAAGCACCCTCTCTACTCTCCTCCTGTTTCCCCGGTGTTTCCCTCAATGCTTCCTTGGCTCGTTGGAGATCCATATTGGTGGTGAGGTTCCCTATACTCCAGCCTGGTACTCTCGTATAGTAGTAATAGTAGTAGTAGTAGTAGTAGTAGAAGGGTGACGAAAGGTAGGAACCCTCCGGGAACTCTGACGGCGAACTGGGAAGTTGTGAAGAGTGGCAGACTCAGGCAATAAAGGTGAGAGACACAAAGCAAGACAGTTCAGTCCCTGCGCCAGGCCCCGAAGGATGAGTTGAATCAATGGCGCGGAGGGGAGGAATCCCTTGTACTGATGTCGCAGCCCTTTGTCAGTTTCGGCCTGAGGCACCGACTGCGATAAGGAGACGAAGCACGGCACTTTCGTTCGCAACGGAATTTCTTTTCTTCTTTACCCCGTATTTTCCTTCTATTTAATTGTTCTTTTTTCTCTTCTTCTGCCGAGTTCGTAATTGAAGGATAGTTGAAGGGTGGTGTGGTGGTGGTTGCTGTAGTAATTACTGAATCGGACAACGGAAGTAGAGGAAGGAAGAAACCATTGAAGAAGAAAAGGGAAAAGAGAACCGACTGGACCAAA